CCTCCCGTCACCGTCACCACCACCCTTCCATTGTCATCTTCATCATCCATCACCATCTTCACCACCCTCCCATCACTGCCACCCTCCCGTCACCATCACCATCCCCCTCCCATCACCATCATCCCTCTCCCATCACCATCTTCACCACCATTCCATCATCATCTTCACCACCCTCCCATCACCATCACCCTCCCATCATCGTCTTCATCGCCTTCCCATCACCTTCCCCTCACCATCTTCACCACCTTCCCCTCACCATCTTCACCACCTTCCCCTCACCATCGCCCTCATCACCACCATCACCATCTTATCATCTCCATCATCCTCATCACCACTATCATCATTCACACCACCACCGTTGTCCTCATCATCACCACCATGTCATTCTCACAATCACCGTCGCCCTCATCACCACCATCATTGTCCTCATCATCATTCCCACCAGCATCACCAGCAGCAGCACCCTCATCCTCACCATCAGCTTTCCCATCACCCTCATCACCACGACCACCCTCCTCCTCCCGTGGCCCCTCACCCTGGGGCTCCGTGTCGGGCGCGGGGGTCCCGTTGGTGCCGGAGCTGTCGGGATTCTCGGCAGTGGGCGCTGCCGGGGGCTCCCCGTCGGTGCCATCCCGCTGTCCTGGGGAGGGGGGACATGGGGGTGGGTGGTGGGCCGGGGGCAGCGGCGCGCAGCCCCGCGGGACGGCCCTACCGTGGGGCGGCCGCTCCTTGCGCTCCACCTCGCGCCGGTATTCCTCCAGCTCCTGGTCCGTGAGCTGCCGGAAGGGGTTGGGGGGCTCCGGCTCTGGCGCCGCCTCCGGGGGCTCGTCGCCCGCTGCTGCCAGCTGGCTCTCTGTGGACTGCRTGGGGATGGGACGTGGGTAAAGGAGGGGGGTCCCATGGGGACAGGGATGGACAGGGGGCTCTGTGCTGCAATAGGGATGAGGATGCAGCGCCACGGGAAAGGGTGTGGGGCTCCCACAGAGACCCGGATGGGGACACGGTGACATAGGACAAAGCCAGGGGCTCCCATGGGGATGGGGACAGGGATACAGTGCCGTGGGGATGGGAGAGCAGCTCCTATGGGGAGCAGGGTTAGGGGATGTGTCATGATGGGACAAGGTGAGGGGCTGCCCATGGTGACGGGGACAGGGAGCCATGGGAAAGGGTGAGGGGCTGCCCAGGGGACCCAGATATGGACATGGAGCCATAGGAATAGGCAAGGGGCTACCCTGGGGACAGGGACACAGTGCCATAGGAAAAGCAAGGGGGCCCGATGGGGACCCGGAAAGGATACAGTGCCATGGGAAAAGGCTGGGGCGCCCACCGGGACCAGGCCGGGATGGAGCACCACGGGAAAAGGTGAGGGGCTCCCGTGGGGATGGGGACGCGGAGCGGGACCGGCCACTKCGCGCAGGTCACGTACGGGGCTGCGACTGCTGTCCCCAATGACGCCAGCCAGGAGCTGCGACTGCGGCCCGGCCGACTTGACGTCCTGCCGGTTCTGCTCGCGGATCTGCGCAGGAGCAGCGGGAGCCGGTGGCGGGGCCGGCGCTGCCGCCATCCCCGCGTCCCCCCCGAGCCCGGCGAGCCGCCGTTACCTTGTTGCGCATCTCCAGCACCTCCTGCGGGTCCGTGTAGAGCGGCACGAACTGGTTGGGGTTCTCAATGCGGATGGCCGTGCCGCCGCCACCGCCCTTCTCCGCCTCATCCGCCTTCAGCCACTGCGCCCGGGAAGAGGCAGCGTCTCCATCCCCATCCCGCCGTGCCTGGCCGCCTGCCCGCGGCAACACCAGCCCTACCGTGGTCCTGGTGCGGGGCCCGCCGGGCTGCTCGCCGGCCACGTCCACACGCAGGTAGGTGTTGGGGGTGTTGAGCCAGCGCGTCTTCTCCTGCTGCTGCCGCTGCGCATGCGGCCGCGGCGCMGCCGCCACCGCCGCCTCCTCAGCCAGCACGAAGGCCGTCACCGTGGCGGGGATGAGCACGTCGCTCTTGGGCTTGCTCTTCTCCTGCACGAAGGGGTAGCGGTACGTGTAGCCCGTCCGGTAGCCCTGCGGAGGCGGCACGGAGGCGCGTGGATTGGCACGTTGGCCRCTAACGCGATCACGGGGCGGGGAGGGTGCCCGTTTTGGGATTCTCCGGGGTTTTTGCCCGCGCCACGGCGCTCACCAGGTTGTCGAGCATGCGCATGAGGGCCTCGAACTCGTGCTCGCCCAGGCGGCTCTTCTGCATGGGCCCGAAGGTGCTGCCGGCCCAGCGCACGGAGCCGGCCTCGTGCGGCCGGTGCTTGTCGCGCTGCAGCACGATGAGGTTCTCGGCACCACCCGCGCTCGACAGCGCCGACACCTGGCGCGAAAGGACCCTCGGTGCGCGCCGGGGGCGGCGCCGCAGAGACCTGGCCCAGCTCAGTGCATCTCCCAGGGCACGATAGCAGAGACCTGGCCCAGCTCAGTGCATCTCCCAGGRCACAATAGCAGAGACCTGCCCAGCTCAGTGCATCTCCCAGGGCATGATAGCAGAGACCTGGCCCAGCTCAGTGCATCTCCCAGGGCATGATAGCAGAGACCTGGCCCAGCTCAGTGCATCTCCCAGGACACAATAGCAGAGACTTGCCCAGCTCAGTGCATGCTCCCATGGCACCGTGCTGGCAGCAGAGACCTAGCCCAGCTCAGTACCTGTTCCTGGAGCCCTTGTACTAGTAGCAGGGCTCAGCACCTGCTCCCAGGGCACCGTCCTGGCGGCAGAGACCCGGCACAGCTCGGTGCATGGCCCGCCACTCACCTGTATCTCGCAGGCCGCCTGCAGGTGGAAGATCTTGTAAAACGCCTCCTCCACCGTGTCGCCCAGCGCCAGCACGCCGTGGTTGCGCAGCACCAGGATCTGCGCGGCCARGCAGCGCCCGTCGCCTCCGCCCGCCGCGGATGGGGGGACGGACGGAGGGCCGGAGGGACGGCCGGGGCAGCGCTCACCTTGCAGGTGGGTCCCAGGCACTTCTGCAGCTGCACGCGGTCGGCCTCGTCCTGCAGCGCGCCGCCGAAGTCGAAGTAGGCGGCRTCGCCGGCCAGCAGCGCCTCGTGCGACACGGGCAGCACCCCGCAGCGCATGGCTGACACCTGGGCACGCGGCAGCGTGTGGGCCGGCGCCGCCGCGCGCGCCCYGGCCCCCGGCCCGTCCTTACCGCGGCGGTGGCCGGCGTGTGCAGGTGCACCACGCAGCGCGTGGCCGGCCGCGCGGCGTACACGGCGGCATGCAGGCTGAATGCGCCRGCGTCCACGGCGAAGCCGGTGCTGCCCTGCTCCACCACCTCGCCCAGGATGTTCACCTTGACCTGCAGCACGGCGCCCGCTCAGCGCGCCACGCTGCCGCCGCGTCCCGCCGCGCCGCCGGCACTCACCAGGCTGGACGCYGTCACCTCGCTGCACGAGAGGCCCTTGGGGCTGATGAGGAAATGGTCCTGCTCCTTGCTCACGCGCAGCTGGGGGCGTGCGAGACGTGGGGGAGATGAAATGAGCCCCCTGCCACCGCACGCGGGGAGCCCGGGGAGCCCYGAGAGTGGGGAACGGCCAGGCTGGGCCTGTGAGACCAGGAGCTGCACCAGCCAACATGTGGGACCATCATCCTGCTCCGGGACCATGGGAGCCCCAGCAACAACCAGGGACAAGGTCGCTTTGGGACCATGGGAAGCCCAGGATCTGTGTTGGTCAGAGCTGTGGGAACGCCAGGAACCATGCTGGTCCAGGACCAGGAGAACCATGGGAACTATGCTTTTCAGGAACCATAGGAACCCTGGGAATCATGGGAACACATCAGTCTGGAACACTGGAAACCCTAAGAACCATGAGGACCATCCTGGGCTGGGAGCACGGGATATTCAGGAACCTCGTAGGCTGGAGGTGCGGGATCCCCAGGGACCACGATGGTCTGGGAGTACAAGAACCACGGGAACCACAGGAATCCTGCCGGCCTGGCACCATGGAAACGCGGGGAAGCAGGAACCATGCTGTCCAGAGCAGCGGGAACCCTGGTGCCCACAAGGATCCAGGATCTCCAGAACAGCACCAGCCAGGACCACGGGGAGCGCTCCGACCAGGAGCTCAGAAACCACGGAAAGTTCCCCGTGCATCCACCCCGCAGCCACCCAAGCCGGCCGGCGCAGGGAGGAGGCTGGGAAGGAGGGAAAGGGTCCTCACCGTGACATAGGTGTCGCTGAGCTGGGCCCAGCCGTAGAGGTCGAGCAGGCGGTAGACGCTGCCCACCTTGCAGCGCATGAGGCGCTCGCCCTTGGCCAGCGGCAGCGCCTCGCCRGCCCCGTGCAGGTCGTTGATGGGCGTCACTGTGGAGGGACCTGGAGGGACGACGGGGACCAGTCAGCACCAGCCTGTCCCCGTCCCACTGCCTCCATCTGCCTGCTGGGAACGGAGCCCCCGCGTACCCATGGGTGACGTGGGRAAGGCGGCGGGCGATGTGCTGGCCATGAAGTCGGCGATCTGCCGCAGGGCCCAGATGTTGGACGAGTTGTTGCCTTTCTTCATCTGCTCCTGGATGAGGCTCTCCAGCTCCTCTCTGAAAGACTGCGAGGCCGCCGCTGGTCACGGCGTCGCGAGGCGGCACCATGGGCGCCGGGCGCCGCGCGCCGCCTCACCGGGCTCTGCAGGATCATGGTGACGCGCTTCTTCTGCTCCATCATGTTGAAGTCCTGGCGCAGGTCGGCTGCCATGTTGCGGGCGCGCAGGTACTCGGGGTCGTCGGCCGAGAAGCGCTCGAAGTAGCGGGCGGCGGGCGGCGAGGGCGCCCGCTCGGGGCTGGCGGCGGCGCTCATCCTGGCGCCCCGGCGCGGCTCCGGGCGCTGGGCGAAACCCGCCTGTGCAGAACTGTCCTGGGCAAAACCCGCCTGTGCAAAGCCCTCCAGTGCATAACCCACTTGTGCAAAACCCACATGTGCCAAACCTGCATGTGCAAAACCCGCCTGTGCAGAACTCGTTCGTGCAAAACTATCCTGTGCAAAACCCGTCTGTGTAAAACCCGCTTGTGCAAAGCCCTCCTGTACAAAACCCACCTGTGCCAAACCCGCCTGTGCAAAACTCTCCTGTGCAAAACCCACTTCTGCAAAACCTGCTTGTGCAAAATCCGCCTGTGCAAAACCCTCTGGGATGGGAATTCTCCTGTGCAAAACCTGCCCATGCAAAACCCATCCGTGCAAAATCCTCCTGCACAAAAGCTGYCCATGCAAATACCCTCTTGCATGAAAATCCTCTTGTGCAAAAGCCCTCTYGCACAAAACCCTCCCTCGTGCCCACGTGCTGCCCACGGGAGTCCCTGGGGCCCAGGAAAGCTGTTACTGCTGCTGCCACCCGCCTCCTGCCCCAAACCTGCTCTGCACTTCCAAGCGGCTTGGGAGCCGTTTCCATGGAGAGCTTTTCCCACACCGGCTCAGCTTGGAGCATCCCAAAGGGCCCGATGCCACGGGGCCGCGGCATCGCGCTGCCTGGAAACCTGGCTCTGCTCCCACAACCCCATTAGCGGGGAGCTGCAGCGACGGAGCCGCGGCTCCGCGGGGAATCGCCAGGGCCGTGCGCGGATGCCGCCCTCCCCTGCGCTGAGCACGGCCAGCTCAGCCCACGGGTGGCAGCGCGAGCGGCGCCCAGCCGGGATGCATCATCTCCACAGGGCGCTGGAGGCCCCGGGCACCAGGAGCCCCAGGCAGCCTCCCGGTGGGCCCGCATGGGCAGCTCCCACTGCTCGGGTTTCCTCAGGCCATGCGCATTCAGGGGGGTGTTTAAAGCTCTGCAAGCGGCTGCAAGCCAGGGCGAAAGCCAGGGTGAAACCCGTGCCCTGCCTGTGTGCCCAGCGCTGCCCCTGCTGCCACGGCCCCTTGCAATGCAGGGAGGAAGAGGAGGCGGCAGCRGGGCTGAGGAAGGGCCGGGCGCCCCAAAGGCTCCCACAGTCCAGGTTTCCACAACTGGCTGTGGCTTGAACAGAGAAATGGGTACTGGCCCGAGGGTATAAACACCATGGGATGGATGCGGGGCCGCGTGCCCCACGTAGCGCGGCGCCAGGCACCCTGAYGCTGTGGTTGGGTGCGCGGTGGCAGCTTCCCAGGCCTTGCAATGTCATTGTCCCCATCGGGAAAAAACCTTGTGCACAGATTGGGAGTGTGAGGTGGCCATCAGCTTAGGGAGGAAGGCAGGGCCCGCTGGTGACATGGGGCATCTCCCGCCAGCGCCTCGATGTGCCGGCGGGTACCGCAGCAGGTCAGGGCATCGCCCATTGCCCGCTGCGGAGAGCGAGAAACCGCTGAGGAATGGGAGGTGGGAGGAGAAAGAGGCACCAAACAAACAAGCCGGATCCCCATGGTGTGGGTTGGAGGGTGTCCTCACCCCCGGGGGTGGAGAGCACCCGCGGATGCTCTGCTGAGGCTGCACGAGGGCAGCTCCCGGAGCAGCAGCTCCCGGAGCAGCAGCGTCGCCCACGGAGGGCAAGGCGGGATACGGCCCCGGGGGCTGCAAGGGGGGACCCGGCGCAAAGCGGGACCCGCTGCACGGGGCGACTCGAGACAAAAGGCGGCGCGGGGCGGGCGCAGGTGCCGCGGGGGGGCTCGGGCCGCACCGCTGAGTCACGGTGTGGCCGCGGGGGACAGGGAGCCGCCCCGGCCGCATTTTGGGCCGAGAAGAGGGGGCTCCGGGAGCGGCGGGGGGCAGAAGCGCTGCCGGCCGGAGCGGCGGCGGCCGCACCGCGGACAACAGCACAACGCGATAAAATACAATGGAGCCAAATGACCCGGCGCGGGGGGAAGGGCGGCGGCTCGCGCATCCCCTACCTCCTCAGCGCATCCTCATCCTCCTCCTGCGCTCCGCAGCGCGTCGCCGCCGCGGGCCGGAGCCGCCCCCGCCCGGGCTGGGGGGGAGGGAGGCGGCAGCCGCCGCCCCGCGCACAAAGGGCCGCCGAGCCCCGCCCGTGTCCCCCCCACGCGTGTCCGCGAGCAGCCACGCGGGGCGGAGATGCCCTCCCCCCCCAAATCCCTGGGCTCTGCCTCTCCTTTCCCCTCCCCCCAACCTTTTGCTGCCTGGGAAGGGGCTGCTCCCCCCACAGAGCTCCCCTCTTCCTGTGGGCTCCACAGCAGGCTGTGGTGGGATGCTCCAGTGGGATCACCCCACGGGAACACAGCCCGGCACACCATAATGCCTCCCATCCTTCAAGAAATAACCTCTCCCCATCAAGCATCCCTCCAAAACCACCACTCAATGGTGCCCCAAACCTGGGCGTAATTTATTTTTCACCCAAGTTCTCCCCATTTGGGGCCAGCAAAGCCCCACCACAGAGGTGCAGGGAAGCTGCTTAGGTGCCAGCAGCTCATTAAGGCATCATTAACCAGGAGCAGCATTAAATAAGCCCCGCTGCCTGGCACAGGACAGGCTCAATCCCGGCAGTGCTAATTACATGTATAGAGCAATTACAGAGCAGACTTCAGGTGGGATGAAGCTGCACAGCCCCTCCGGGACACCTTGGCACATGGGATTCATCCACTCGGCTTAACTGGAATCCAGTGTGGAGCTCTGGGACACAGGACAAAAAGCAGTGCTCTTCACTCAATGTGGGATCACACCGGGTCACATGGGACACCAATGAATTAGGAATTGGCTTGAAACACCTTAAAGAAAATACAGAATAAAATTTCTTTTTTTTTTTTTTTTTTTTGTCATTGGGAATGCCCTCAGGAATGCAAAAGCTCTGGGGAAAAAAAAAAACCACCCACATTTGTAGAGTGCCTGAAGGTTCCACCTTCCCGCACTGTCCCCTCTGCTTCGAGGCTCACCGGGATCCCACTCTCCAGCGGTCACCCCAGTGCAGAGGCTCCACACGGACACCCAGGATCCAGCAGCTCTCCTGCCCCAGACTCCTGCTGGAGAGTATCTCCTGGGCACTGGGAGCAGGGGAAAAGAGGAAAGAGAAATCTGGAATTTAGACTTTCTTTCCTCTCAAGGAAAGGAGGAAAGAGGAGAAAACTCTCTCAAAGAGTAGCCTTCATCAGGCAAATCCCCCTCGAATCCTCTTTTCCCATCTGAAAGGCGGGATGGAAAAAAACATCTGGTGATGTGGGAGGAAGAAGGAAGTATGAGCTGCCTTCCCCCCTCTGCCACCTTCTGCCTTCCCATAGAAAAGGAGGAAAGTGGCACCTCCAGAGGGCTAAAACCAGGCCACATCCCAAGCAAAGGGGTTTCTCCCAGAAGAAGCAATTTAAGCAGTTTACAGCACTTTGCAGCTCTACATCCCACTGCTCCAAGTTGAGGTGTCTGCTATATAATTCCAAAAGCTGGAGCAATGCCTTTTCCTGTGGCTTTTCCCAAATAACTGCACCTACAAACATCTAGCAACAAAATCAGTGATGCAAAAAAAATATTAAAAAAAAAAAAAAAGCCCCAGAACTCGCCCATTACAGGAGCCCCATTAGGAGAATGATTTTCCATGCTATTTTGGAGGCAAAGGCTCCGCTACCTCCAAGCCGCCCGTTTCCTGCAGGAGCAGCCGGAGCAGGCGGATGTACTCGGCAGCAGCTTTGAGGGTGTCCACCTTGCTAGGCTTGCGATCCCGAGGGATGAGCGGCACCAGCGCCTTGAGCCTGGAGAAGCCGCTGTTGAGGTTCTTGATCTGGGGGAAAGGCACCAGGATTAAACGCCGGGGAGCTGTTTGCAGGGATGGAAAGCGGTGCCCGGGGCTCGCTCACCCGCTGGCGCTCCTTGGCGTTGGCAGCTCGCCGGCGCTCTAGCACCTCGGCCGGGTCGCCGGTTGCCTCGTAGCCGCCCGACGGCTGCTTTTTGAGGCGGGCAATGGCAGCAGCGCAGGGCAGGGGACCGAAACGGGTGCTCAGCACCTCGCCCAGCACCTCGGGGGCCGGGACAGGCTGCAGTGCCATGGGGCGGCCCCCAGCCATGGGGACACCGAGAAGAACCCAGGTGAAGCAGCACAAGTGCCCCCAGCAGCCACCCAGTGCCCCATTTATAGCCATCGGCCCCAGCACCTGCAGCGGGGGCCCTGCTAACGAGGCTAACGATCCTCAGCTGGGCATGACGGAGCTCTGGAGAAGGTGTGGGGCACCTCACGGCTGAGGCTGGGCCAGTTGGTGACATGGGGAGGTTTGCAATGCTGGCCATGTCGTGCACCCACCTTGAGGTTGGGAGGCACTCTGATTCGGGGGCTTTAACCCCAAAGGGGCCAAAGGCAGCGGCCCAGCAGGGCTGGGTGACACTAGATGTCGCTGCCGGACTCCCCGCTTGCGCTGGGCCTCCCTGTCCCCATCCCTCCCCCCGGCAAGCTGGAGAGCACGAGAACGGCCGGCGAATCCGGCAAATGCAGCCAGTCATCCAGCAAATGCAAAGTGACGGGGCCGCGGCGGGCGGCATGCGGAGCTGCGCGTGCTGCAGCGCCTGTGCGCGCTCTGCAGCAGCCATGTACGATCTGCTGTACCCATGCCCCCTCTGCAGCAGCCTGAGTATGCTCCCATGCATGCTCTGTAGCACCTATGCAGTGCCCATGCATGCCCTGTATGCATGCACTGCAGTGCCCATGCATGCCCTGTAGCACCCATTCATGCTGTGCAGCACCTGTACATGCTCTGAAGCACCTATGCAAAATCTGCAGCACTCATGCATGTGGTGAAGCGTCTGTGCACACTCTGCTGCACCTGTGCACTCTGTAGCACCCACATAGGACACGCAGCACCTGTGCACACCCTGTGGCACTCGTGCATGCCCTGCAGCACCCTGCAGTGCTTGTGCATGTTCTGCTGCAGGGAAGCGTGCAGCCTGGTGTCTGCAAACACACAGAAGTGTTGGGCCAGGYCCGAGCTTGCAGGCAGCTCTCTCGGCTCCTGGAATGCGGCTGYGGCACCGCTGCAATGTGAGGTGCACATTGCTTCAAAACACCCCTCTGCCCATGCGCTGCCAGCCCAGCAGCACCCAGCTGTGCAGGAAAAGGGGAATATTGCTGCCAGGGGATCCCTGCAGGAGCCAGGGCAGATAGGAGCAGCCCGGCGCCGTTCGGTAGATGGCACTCTCTGCTCCCGCTGGCTCCCGCTTTTCCGGCTGGGATCCTGGCCGTGGCAGCTGGGGGGACCTGGGAGCGAAGCCGCGCGCGGGGCTGGGACGCTGGGAAGCAGCAGCCGCTGCAATCCAGGCAGAGCTCGTGCTGCCACACGGATGCTCCCACGCGCCGGTGCCCGAGATTTTATAAGTGACTTATGTAAGCGCCGGCGGCTGGACAGGCGACGGGTGTTCGGATTTGTCTCAGTAATTCTCCAGAGGCAGCGGAGGGGAGAAGCGTGTGGTCCGGCACGTCCCCCACTGCTACCTCCCTCCCCTTCCCCGAGGGTCTGTGGGTTCAAAACAAAAATAAAAATAAATAAATAAATAAAATAAAATAAAATAAAATAAAATAAAATAAAATAAAATAAAATAAAATAAAATAAAATAAAATAAAGTGATGGGCAGCAGCTGCTGCTCCAACTTTCGTTCTGATTACAAGCCTGGAAAATACCCTGGAGGTTTCTAGTTATTCCTGCCGGGAAGGTTGGTGTGGGACCCGGCGCCAGGGCGGTAATGTGATGCCTGGCCAGGCAGCTGCGCCCGGAGATCAGACAGGTCCCACATTGGCAGCCTGGAGGTGTCAGAGGAGCCTGGGTGCCAGGCTGGGCTGCTCCCCGTGCYGAGCACTCGCAGGCCAGGCTGCTTGGGAAAATGCTCCTGGATGCTCCTGAGTGGAGCTGAATATACCTGGGAAAAACAGGGGAGCTCCAAAATGAGGCATTGGAGGGAGCAGACAAAGGCGGGTCRGGAGCATCTCTAACTGAGATGCTGCATCCCTCCTGCCTCATCTCCCACTGGACGCTGGGATGCTCCAGCAAAATCTCCCCCTCCCCAGCTGTGCCTTCCGTCCCTCCCCTTTTTAGCRTTTTTGCCCCAGTTTCACCCCTGCAGAGCGGAGCGACGGCCCTTCCCTCCGCTCATCCCCCCGCCCCAGCTCTGGGATTAGCTCTGGGCGGCTCAAATCCCCCCTTATCACGACAGCATCCAGCCAATAGCCGGGAACAGGAGCTCATAAAGCCACTGGCCGCCCGCTCCCTGCCAGCAACCCGGTGCCGACCTGGGAACGCCGCCATGGCCGAGGAGGCCACCGAGGCCACTGGCCCCGGCCAGGTAAGGACGGACGGACGGACAACGGTGGGWTGGGAAGGGAGCTCATGGCTGGAATTTGCTGCTTGCTTGGGGCGGGAAGCGAAGGTGCCGGCAGCTGTCAGCCCCTGGCCGGCTGCCCCGGCTCACGTGCTCCGCACTCCAGCAGACTTCTCCAACCGGTTTGGGCTCCGAGGGATTGAGGGAGGGAGGTCGGGAGCCGGAGGAAGGCAGGTGTCGGGGCCGCCTTGAAAACGTGCGGAAGTGGAGCCGAAAGCATGCAAAATGCTGAAAAGAAAAGAAAAGAAAAGAAAAGAAAAGAAAAGAAAAGAAAAGAAAAGAAAAGAAAAGAAAAGAAAAGAAAAGAAAAGAAAAGAAAAGAAAAGAAAAGAAAAGAAAAGAAAAGAAAAGAAAAGAAAAGAAAAGAAAAGAAAAGAGAAAGCAGCCTTCCTGGAAAGCGTTATTTCCTAGGAAAAAAAAAAAAAAAAAACTAGTTGCAATCTAGCATTGGCCAGGGACCAGCTCCTCCGGTCCGACTCCTGTGTTTCCCAGCGGATAAGTTCACTTGGGAGCATCTGGCTTCCTCTGGCAGCCRACAGAAGACTGATTATTTTTCCGTGGAATAGGCTGGGGTCCTGCGGGGAGAGAGCTCCGAGTTTGGCAAATGGAGTCGCTGCCAGAGTGAGGAGGTGACGGATGCACGGGTGGTTCTTAGGCTGGATTATGCTTTAATTTAGCTGGAAYCACTGGGCTTTTGGATATTAAAAGAGCTATGCAGGAAAGGCAAAGTGGAGTCATCTCCTGCTGCAGGGCAGGGAAAGATTGGATTTCCCAGGAAAATAAAAGCAGGAGCAGTGGGATGGCCAGAGTTCTGCAGATCTGCTGTCTTCATCCCATCTTGTTCCTTGGAAATCGCCTCCAATTCCTCAGAAAAAAATGATGCAAATGACCATTTGGGAATAGTCATGTCTGGGCAAAGCAGCTGGAGCGGGAGCAGCTGTGAGGGGCGGGCAGGGGGTCGCGGCGCCCGGAGCGGCAGGATGCAGCGGCTGCTCCCCGTGTGCGCTTCGAGGAGCATGGACACACATGTGCACCCATGTGCATGGACACACACACACACAACAGAGCACATCCATGGCAGGTGCACATGGATGTGCATGCACACAGCCATGCACGCAGGTGCACTCGCACATGCACTTGCACATCTGCACATGCACAGGTGCACTCACATGCTCACGCAGAGGTGCACGTGTGCACACAAGCATTTGCATGTGTTGCACGGGCATTTGCACGGGCTTGCATGGGCAAGCATGTATGCACTTGTGCGCACACGCAAACGCCGCGTACACATAATGCATGCACGTGTGCACACACAGAGCCTTGCATACACATGTACATTACATAACTGTGTGTGCACATGCGCACTTGCACACACACACATGCGCATATGTGCATACTTGCGTATATACACATGAGCACACAAACATGCATTTGCACATATACAGACATACACACACACACACGCATTTGCAAAGGYGTGCACGTATGCATCCCCATAGGCACACCCATGCATTTGCACCTGTGCACATGCACATACGCATCCATACATTTTCACAGGCTTACATATACACACATGGGCACTTATGCATATACACGCAAACACGCATTTGTAGACATGTGCATGCACACACATGCATTTGCACACATATACATGCACTCACATATGCACACATGAGCACACATACATGTACATGTACATGCACACAGGCATTTTGCACATGTGCATGCACACACATATTCACACGTGTGTGCACACACACATACACATTTTCACACATGGACATGTGTGAATGTACACATGAATTTGGCCATGTGCGCACACACATTTCCACACATGCACATGCACTCACACGTGCGTGCAGGCACATTACACATTTGCACACATACGCTGCAAACATGCGTGTCACACATGCGCACACACATTTCCACACATGCACATGCACTCACACATGCGTGCAGGCACATACACATTTGCACGCACACACACACACGCACACACACACATGCACTTGCACAGGTGCATGCAGACACACACAGTTGCACACATACGCATGCACACATGCGTTTGCACACGTGCGTACACACACTTGCACACGTGCACTTGCACTCCCGCCGCGCGCACATGCGCACTTGGGCGCGCGCCCCGTGCACGCGCACACACACGCGCCTCACGCTCCCGCGCGCGCGCCTCTTCCCCCCCCGGGCCCGCGGGCGCCCCCGCGCGGCGCGGTCCAATGGGAGGCGGCGCGGGCCACACACCCTCGCGGCGCAGCCAATGGGAGCGCCGCGCGGCTCCGCGTCACTCGGGGGCCGGGGGAACCTCCTCAATGAGGCGCATTGTGGCGGCGGGACCGCGGCGCGCGCTCCGCTCCGCACCGCACTCCGCACCGCGCTCCGCTCCGCACCATGATCGCCTCCCACCTGCTCGCCTATTTCTTCACCGAGCTCAACCATGACCAGGCGCAGAAGGTGAGAAAAGGCGGCGGGGAGAAAAGCTTTTTTAAAATATATATAGATACAAAAGTTTTTTTTTTTTTTTAAGTTAAAAGTTTTTTAAAAAGAAAAAAAGGATGGGTGAAAGTAGGAGGGAAAGGAGGAAAGGAAAAAAGGGGATGGAAAGGAAGGGAGAGGAAGGGGAGAGAAAGGAGAAAGAGAGGGGGAAATAAGGAACTGGAGAAGGAGGGAAGAGAAAGAGGGAAAGCGATGTAAAAAGGGAGGAGGGGGAGGAAAGAGGGGAAGGGGAAAGAGTAGAAGGGAAAAAAGAGGGGGGAAAGGAGAAGAAAGGACGTAAAATGAGGGAAGAGGAAAGGGAAGGAAAGGGGAAAGCAGAGGGAAGGGTGACAGGAAAGGGGGAGAAAAGAGGAGGAAGGGGAGAAGAAAGGAGAGGAGAGAAAAGTGAGTAAAGGGAGGAAATTAGGAAAGGGGAGAACAAGCGGGAAAGGAGGAAAAAAGGAGGKAAAGGGAGCGGGGAGCGGGAGCAGCTTGGCCCGTGCGGTACGTGCCGGCCGCGCGGTCGGGCGGGGGCTGCGCGGCTCCCGCGGGGGGGGATCCGAGCCCCTCGGCGGGCCGCGTGGGGAGCGGGGGGGCAGCGCGATGCTCGCGCCCACCCCGTCCCAAGGTTATCCCAGGTTATCCCGGTTATYCCGGGTCACAGCCACTCTGCCGGCACCTCCGGCCTCCTTCGCCTCGGCAAAGCATCCCAAGCGCCGGCACGGAGCGGGCTGGAGCAGCCCAAACGCGGAGCCCGCGGCACCGGCGGGAGCTTCCGCTCGGCCACGCCGGCTCCCGCCGGCACCGCCCGCAGCCTAAAGTGTCGCGGGGCCTTTTTCCTGTTTGAAATCCATGCGCTCCAGCAGCTCGCGGGTTGACGCCGCGAGGGACAAGGTCACAGGCGCAAGTTGTGGCGCCCTGTTGCGCCGCATGGGCTGTTTGGCTCCCGCAATTCGGCATTTTGGGCTCAGGCCCTGGAAAAAAGCAAGTCCCCAGCTCCCCACTGAAAGCATCCGCTCTTTGTCCATGCGAGACAGGCTATTAATCTCCCAACAATGGCGAAATAAATGATTTCTGGGAAAGCGCCGCCTGGGAGACTCCGTTGGTGGAGGATAAAACTCCGCTGCCCGGCCAGATCCTGCCGCGGGCCACGAGGCCGGGGGGGCTGTGACGGCTGCAAACGGGCTGCACTGAGAAAGCAAAAGCAAAAGGTGCCGCGCGTGCGGGGCCACTCGCTCCATCCCTCGTGTGCAGAAAGGCAGCAGCGAGTGAGCCCGCTCGCCACGCTGGCAGGGGCGAATAGAAAGTAAAACAAAAGATTCTAACAACAACAAAAGAAAAGAAAAAGGGAGGAGAAATAGCCAGGAGAAATAGCCACATGTCTGGAGCCGGCGCGTGGGGGAGATTGAGGCTCGGCTGCTCCCCGCACCTGCTGGYAGCTGGGGCTGTGCAAGGGCAAGCGGCGCGGGGCCGGAGGGAGGGAGGGCTGCTGCGGGCCCCCAGCCTGGCTCCCCGTGCCGCTTCCCGGGCGCCGGCTCCTTATCGGGAGCAGCCCCGGCAGAGCAGGGAACGCGGCGTCCCGGGCTTGGCCCCGCGCTCGCTTCTCCCGCCGCCAAAGCCCAAACAAAGTCCATTGTGGGGATGGRGGGAAAGCACCCGGCGGGAGCTGCCGCGGAGCCTTGGCGGGCAATGAGGGGAAGTTGCTTCCATATATTCACACAAAGGTTTTAGGGAAGCTAAGATGTGTTTGAATCACATGTTTCTTTTTCTTGCCCTGAATCGGGTAAAAAAAGTCCTGGTCATGGATCTGTCCCTTGGGAAGAAAGTGCCCTTTGTAGGAGCCGTGATTTGTTTCCACATTAGGACAAAAGACTTGAAAAAGGCTCCAAAACGAGATTTTTCTTCTCTTTTTTTTCAAGAGAAGCCCTGACGCAGAGGCAGCGTGGCCTAGGCTCCGGCCCTGAGCAGCGACATATCTCAGTCACTGGCGTTGTGCAAAGCGTCATTAGTGTCAGCGGCATCCCCCGTGATGCCAGGCGGCCGGCACGTTCCCATCGGATGTGCTGCCCCGCCAACTTTCCGGGTCGTGGCCTGGAGCGAGCAGAGTGAGTCACAGACACGGGGCTGGTGGCCCTTCCTCCTCATTGCACTTCTTAGAGAGGATAGATGGCGAAAAAATGGGATATTTGGTTATTTTACCCGCCTGCGCAGCATTTCTGGACACGCATTTTCTCCCTGGCCTTTTCCCGTCCGCCCTTTTCCCGTCCGCCCCTGGCCGTGGGAGAGCCGCTGGGATGGCGGCTCCCCGGGAAGGGGCTCTCGGCTCTCACATGCTCCAAGCTGGGCTGCGGGATGGAGCCGGAAAGGGGAGCGGGCGCCGCCGGGGGCCGTTCCGCAGGCGGCCGCCACCGCTGAGTAATGGGGGCCGGGCCCCCGCGGCCGCATTGCCGGGAACCGGCCGAGCAGGAAAGCGCCTGACTCACACCGGGCTCCGCGGGGCGTGTCGGCACGGGGCCGGCGCCGCCGCCGGGGCACGCGGGGCTGCGTGCCGGGAGCAGCCGCAGCTGGGGGGGCTTGGCCAGGGCTCCGCACTCGGCTGCTCCGATCCAGCACCGCGCTCACCACGGGGATGCCTAYGGGTGGAGGCTGCAGCTTTGAGCAAAGATCAATGTGGAATTTCAGCCCAAAATTCCATTCAGGGAGAGGTTGCCCCAAGGAGAGGCACCGACCTGCACCTGCGCTGATCAGACACTGCCCAGCTCTGGCTCCCAGCCTGCTCCAAGCTCCCCAGCTTGGCCTTACACCTGATTTTCTCATGAACGATGGCCTTGGACTTCTGCTTTGCCAAAAAGGAGAAAGAAATCCCCACCCTGCTCCCAGTAACCAGCCCCTGGCTGCATTGCACTCACTGCCCAAACGCTTCTGAAATTGCTCCATCCAGCCCCAAACCTATCCCAGGAAAGGAAAACGGAGCTTGCAAAGTTTGCTCTGAGCTCAGTTGCTTCCCAAAATGCGGCTTTGGGAAGCCCAACAGCAACTGAACAGCTCATGGCAAAGGCCGGGAGCTGGTGCTGGAAACTGTGACCGCGTTGTCACCCGCCGTGTGCGGGTCCCGTCCCCCTGTGCATGCACCGTCCCCAGGGCTGATTCAGTAACGCTAGGGACATTTTTTTTCCCCTTGCGCATGAATAGCTGCACAAATGGGGCCGGTTTGGCAGGTACATAAGCCAGGGAATTAACTTCTTTTGCCACCTGAGTGGTTGCACCAAGACTGAGAGAGGGTTATCCAGGACTGGATCAGAAACTTGGGGCTTTTCCTCCTTCCTTGGCGCGATCTTGCAAGCGCCAGCGGAGCCGCTGGGTCACACAGACAGGGCTGGACCTTGCCCAACAGCAGCATTGCAGCCAGTGCTGCACAGGAGGAACCAACCAAGCCCCCAGAGATGACCTGGGGTCTGAGACCTTGAGCAAAGAGCCTTTTGTTCCCTTTTCCTTCCAATCAGATATTGCACCAAATCATTAGACCTGCAAGCCCTGGTCTCTGGCGGGGCTCGTGTCGCTTGGGGAAGGGACGTTGGTGTCCAGCAACATTGGGGGGCAGTCATCAGGATGCGTGGAGGTACACAGAATAATTGGGTTAATTCTGTTGAATTCAGGGCTTCCAACTGGCTGAGACCTGTCCAGCCCTCCTGTCACGGGCTGGGTAGGCAGCCCTTCCTGGGGGCATTTGGAGCGGGTGCCGTCCCGGAGCTCATGGCAGCCGTGCTGAGCCAGGAAGTGGGGCAGCGCCTGCGCTGGCCGCAGGAGATGATCCAGGTCTTAAAGGGCTTTGAGGAATTAGGAGAAGGTCACCCTGCACTTAGTGCCAGCACGGGGACRGAGGAGGGCAGCGGTGCTGAGCGGGGGCTGTCGCTTTCCCTCCCCAAGGCTGGGCTGTGGTCCCCGCTGATGGGCAGGGGACCAAGTTGGAGAAGGAGGATGTTCCCTAGCACCAGCTCCAGGCAGTTCCAGAGAGGTAGAGGAGCAGGACGTGGGAAGAACACATCAAAACTGCGAGATAAGGAACCATGCAAGGATGCTCAGCATTGGAAAAGCACTGCTGTTCCTGGATGTGTGTTCCCAGTTGCTGCAAGGGGATCTCAGGGCGGATCTCCGCAGGGCTCTCTTGGGCGAGCTCGGTCTGCGAGGCAGAGGCACCGCAACAGGAGGCCAGGCCACACGTGGAGCCGCTCCGCTGGGCGAGGGGACTCTGGCAAACACGGCGGGCGCCGTCGGCCTCGGCTTGCTTGTCCCTGCGTGGGAAAGCTCTCCAGGGAAGCCAGGGCGCAGCGGGCACGAGGCCACTGCGGAGAGGCTCGGGAGGAACTTTTCCCCATCAGCCAGGCAAGGATGCACTTCCTTGGATCTCGGCTAAGACGGTGGAAAGCAAGGCCGAGCYGAGCTGTGTTTCCACCCTGCGAGCTCCTGGCAGCATCCTCAGCTGGGACTTTGGTCCCTGGTGCGCGGGGAGCCACAAGCAAGAGCATGTCAGAGCCTCTGTCCTCCCGGCCGGCTCCCCGAGGCCGCGTCCGTTCGCCAGGTCACCCATTAGCAACCCGCAAAATGCCCATTTCCGACTTTAGGGCAGCTCTATTAAAGAAAGGGAGGGGAAAAAAAAAAGAAAAGAAAAAAAAAACCTTGTGCTTGATTCCCAATGACCAAGGTTACGTGCCTACAGACAGGTGAGCCGGCCGGGTGGAGTTTCCCTCTGACTTGACAGGGCTGGCAGCTGCCCTTTAATTAATGTTAAGTGAAGTTAATTGAAACAGGGCACAGCTGGGGAGCTGGCAGTCCAGCCTCCTCGCTGCTTCCCTTCCCTGCCCAGCTCAGAAATGCTGCCCGCTCCGGAGCGGCCATGGGAATTGGCTCGGGGATGGGTTTCCCCCTGCATCTCAAGGGCAACGTGCATCTGTAGGGTGCTGCCRTAGCATGTGAATGAGCTCTGGCAGTGGGGGACATTTCTTTCCCTTCCGTGCCGTGGTAGCCCCCCGTGCAGCCAGAGGCGAGCGCTGTTTGCCCAGGCAGGGGGTTGAGGAGCTCCCCTGTGCAAGGGTGAGCTCGGCGGGCGGTAAATGAACGGGCAGCGCGTGCCCACGAGTATCCTCCGTGGAGCGCGGGAGCCGGCGGGTCCGGGTCGGTGCCCATCGGCACTCCGGGTGAGTCACAGCGCGGGCAGTGAAGGTGGCCGAGTTTGGTTCCTGCTGCTTTTGCAAGGTGTTTGGGTGCCTGCAGGTGAAGCGCCGGCGAGGAGGCTGYGGGGACTTCCTTGGCATTTGCCTTGCCCTGTCCGTGCTGGGGGTGGCCAAGCGGCCAGCCTCTTGGGGAGACCAAAGAGGTCACAAACCTCATAGGGAGGCTGAAGAGGTGGCCAGCCTCACTGGGAGGCCACAGGGGTGGCCAACCTTGTGAAGAGTGTGTCCTGAAGAAACGCTGATCCCTCTGAGGTGGCTTTGACCTGCTTTTGCTCCAGTGCTCCTGCCAATGCCATCCTCAACATGTCGCGGTGGTTGCACCTATGCCCCAGCCCTCCCACTGACCTTCCGATGCTCCTGTGCACCTTTCAGATTGACAAATATCTCTACCACATGCGGCTGTCTGAGGAGACCCTTCAGGAGGTGTCCCAGCGCTTCCGGAAGGAGATGGAGAAGGGCCTGGAAGCGGACACCAACCCCACCGCCTCGGTGAAAATGCTGCCCACCTTTGTGAGGTCCACCCCGGATGGGACAGGTACCAGCGGGGTGCCGGTGTGCGCTGACGGGGACAGCGGCGGCCGCCCGTCCTCRTGTAGGGCGGCGCTGCCCGCAGAGGAGGCCCTCGCTGCGGCTGGGGGATGTCGCTGCCGCGGGTCCCGGCAGGCGGGAGCAGCCTCCCGTGGCCTCCCTGGCTCGGCGGGGACATCACGGGWGGTGCTGCTCGGGTTTCGGCAGCGCTGCCAGCAGCCCCGAGCAGCCGGAGGCCCCTACGCGCAGCGGGGACGCTCGGCACTTCCCRGCGTCACACGGCAGCCCTCGGCGCTGGGAGCTTATCTGCATCCGACGCGCTTATCTCCATGCAATGCACTTATCTCCACCCAATGCATTTATCTTTGTCCAGCGTGCTTAGCTCGGTGCAACACGCTTCCCCGAAGACCCGTGTCTGACCTTTCCCTCTGTCTGCTGGCACCATGTGGGCTCTCCTCCTTGGAGAGGAAGCGTGTCTGCTGGAAACAGGACCCTGCAGCAGGGTGGTGGCTGCACCCCAGTTCTCCCCGTGCCCTCTGCACATCCARCAATGCTGCTCCTTGTGGCCAGGGCAGCAAGAACCACGTGGAGCCGTGTCCATGCTCTGTGGGTGGCAGCAGCTTCTGGGCTGGTAGACCCTGTTGCCCAGAGCTGCTCGGTTGTCGCTCTTCATTCCCAGCTCTGGCACATTCTGGGGGGAGGGTCCTCATTAAAACCGCAGTGGATGGAGGACAGCTGGAAAGACATGTCCGTCCTTCCCCATGCGTGTCCAGAGGAGAGCGGCATCCAGGGCAATGTATCCCGGCATCGCCTGTACAAGCGGAGCGAGACCCAGCAGCAGGGACCCCCCCGCCACCCCTTGGCCAGGTGCTGCCCCCCCAGCACACGTAGACTGCACTGGCGGCCTGCCCCGGGATGGAGATTTAGATCTGTGGAAATATTTGAGCGTATTTCTAATTACAGGGGCSGCCCGGGCTCTGCCCCCGGGGCGCGTGAACAATCCCAGCCAAAGGTGAGGGGAGCGGTGCCGCGTCACCCCCAGCCCGGCGCGTGACCGGCCCCGCGGCCGGCGCTGCCACCCGGGGCCTCCCGCCTTGCAACCTGCTCCCGCGTGGGAGTCGGATCCCGAATCCAGGGCAGGGCAGTGTTGGGATGATGCAGGACGGGAGCATTTTGCCRAAGTCCGGCTCCCGCCTGGCGTGCGTGGAGTCACCTGTCGCGAGTCGCGTTGTCCCAATGGACTCCTTCTGCAGCACGGTACTCCGGGCGCTCCAAGCTCATCCTCGCCCTCCCTCCTTCCGTGCCAGCTGCCGCTGCCTTGGGATTAGGCGGGCGGATGCCCGGCCTCGTGCGCAGGCGGCGGCTCCCGGCAGCGCTTACATAAGCGCAAGGTCACGGTGGCGGCTCAGGGCAGGACGCGCACGCGGGCGGCACAGCCCGGCTCCCCGCGTGCGTTCCTCGACGGAGAAGCCCGTGGGAACCAGGCACCCRCAGCCCCTTCGTTCCCAAAGGCGCCTTTATTCCCTCCGGTCCCTCGCAAAGGTCCTGGCCTGCCTGGTGCCTTCCCCGAGGTGGGAGTTGCTCCTCAAATCCAGATGTTTGTGGGAAAAACTGCTGCTTATGGTGCCAGGCAGGAGATGCCGCTCGCCAGCCCCGGCGCTGTCCGGAACAGGCTGCTGGGTTAATCCCGAGCCCTTGGACACCCCCCAACGCCGGGATTAGAGCGGCGCTAATCYGGTACGGATGCTGCTGGGAGCATCGGGGCCCTCACCTGCCTGCTCCGACTGGAAGCGGCAGAGCTCCAGGAGCCAGAGGTGGCACTGGAGGGAAGCAGCCTCAGCACCTCTGTCCCCGCTCGGGGCACAGCCCACGCCTGCATTTCCCTTTCCGTCCCTGTGACTGTCACCGTTCACCCGACCGCTCCGGCAGGCTGGGAACCCGCAGCAGGAGGCGAGGGGCCGGCGGGGAGCCGGGCTGCCCTTGGAGGTGCCCTTGGAGGTGCCGCGTGCTGCAGCGAGTCGCGCCGGGGCTCCACGCCAGGGATTGAAGCCGGCGCCGCGGCCGCCCTCCCGCTGCGCCCCGGCACCGCCGCTTATCTCGGGCTCGGCACAGGCCCAGCTCGCGGGCGGCCGCGCGGCGACGTGTGCGGGCGTTGCTCGTGGCGCGGCCCCAGCTGCCTGGTCTTGTGATTTTCCAGCAGAGCTGCTGCTTCCTCTTCCTCCCGCTCCGCGGGCCCCTGCCAGCTCCCCCGGGGACTGCAGGGACTCTCCGACCTTGCCGTGCTCAGAGCTGCCGGGGGCCGTCCCGCCTGTCCAGGCGACGTGGGCGCTTTTGTGCAGCCCGTGCTCCCCTTTTGTGGCAGCTCGGCCGGGCGCGAAGCGGCGCCGCGGTGGGGTCAGCGCTGCGCTTTTAGCCGCGTTCAGCAATCACGCACTGCTGAGAGAGGCCTTTCCCCTGGCCCTGGCGTCCCAAACAGCTAAGCTGGGGATTTTCCCGCCTCCCGGCACGCCACTGGTCCTAAACTCACCCCCGGGCTGCCCCAGTACTGGGTAAATTAAGGAGAACAGGGAGCTGGTGCTGCGGGGGCAGCCAGGAGGTCTTGGAGGTGCTCCAGGTGTGGGGAACATCTGCCAAAGCCTTCTTTGGTTCTCAGGCTCTGTTTCCCACTTTTCCAATGAACTCTGGCCCCGCAGCGACCCGCTCCCAGCATGGGGTGAGGTCACAGGGCGGGAATGTGCAGGATGCCTGGGCCCCACACGGAAACGAGCCTACACCGGCCAGGCTGGGGAGTTCCTCAGAAAGGGAGAGTCCCAGGAGATGCTTTGGCTTTATTTTTTTTCTCCCCATTGCCAAAAAAAATCTCCCTGCAAGAGGGACAATAGGTTGTGGTTGTACCACGAGTTGCAATGGAAGGGACAGGGGACACAGCGACTGCTGCGCCTGCTCCTGGGGTCCCGGGCCGGGGCATCTGGAGGGTGCAGGTCCACAGCCTGGCACCTGCTTAGTCGCGTGGTTGTCCCTGTCCCACAGAGAATGGCGACTTCTTGGCCCTGGACCTGGGCGGCACCAACTTCCGTGTGCTGCACGTGCGGGTGTCCGACAACGGGCTGCAGAAGGTGGAGATGGAGAACCAGATCTACGCCATCCCCGAGGAGCTCATGCGGGGCAGCGGCACGCAGGTGGGCCTGCTTCCCCCTCCCCTTCCCTCCTTGGCTGCGCTCTTCCTCCCTGCCGGAGGAGGAGGATGAGGAGCGGCATGCCGGCAGCTGCAACAGGAGCCCTGTCTTGCAGCTCTTCGACCACATTGCCGAGTGCCTGGCCAACTTCATGGACAGGCTGAACATCAAGGAGAAGAAGCTGCCCCTGGGCTTCACCTTCTCGTTCCCCTGCCGCCAGACCAAGCTGGACGAGGTGGGTGACGGCCGCGGTCCCGCTGGCGGGCAGAGCCGGGGCCCCGGCGCCACGCTCCACGGGCTGTCAGCTCCGCTCAGCGTCTTGGCGAGCGGGGACACGTGGCCCCGTCCCGCCGGTCACGCGCGCGGGGTCGGCGGCGCCTCCCCGGGGCCCGGCGGCCTCGCTCCGCCCCGCGCGCCCTCGCATCACCTCGCGGCGCTCCATGGTGYGCCGGCGAGCCGGCACGTCCTCGCCGCGGCGGCACCGGGAGGAGACGGCCACGCTGCTCGGCGCAGCTCGCCGGGGAGGCAGCACTTGTCCCTGGGGGACCTTGTCCAACGCACTGGTGTCTATACCTCAGGTTGCCCGTCTGCAACCTGGGGCAGGTCCTTGATCCGCTCCTGTGGAGCACCTGGGCACGTTGGGTTTGAAGGCTTGGCCGTGCTCAGGCACTGAAATCCCTGCTGCTCCTGTGCAGCCGGGCCGTGCTCGGAGCGGAGGAGAGGACCTGGCTGGTGGAGCTGGGAGGGCAAGAACAGGAGATGCTCGCTCGGTTGGTAGGTCCACCCTGAGGGTCTATTCTTGCCATTCCTCCCATAGAGCATCCTCGCAACGTGGACGAAGGGCTTCAAGTGCAGCGGTGTGGAGGGGAAAGACGTAGTCTCCATGCTGCGCAAGGCCATCAAGAAGCGAGGGGTAAGGACTTCTGCAAGTCTTTGCCCGCCGAGGCAATAGGACAGGGACCCTTGGTACACGATGTCAGAGCAGAGGCAGTTCAGGTGGTTCTTACCGTGCTCACTCACGTTCTGTCCTCTCTCCCGTTTCAGGACTTTGACATAGATATCGTCGCTGTAGTGAACGACACGGTTGGGACCATGATGACCTGTGGTTATGATGATCATAACTGCGAGATTGGCCTCATCGTGGGTGAGCTGCAGCAGGGCCGGGCGAGGGCAAATCTGGCTCCCCCTTGGCTGGTAGTGCTGTTTGTGCACAGGTTTCCTGCAGTTTTTAGAGTCTTGGGGGGAGAAAGATGGTTGTAGCTTTCARCTACAGTGCCCGAGATCTCCTCCCCTCGATTAGAGCCAAGCACAAACTCAGGCCTGGGACTACACGTTCACTTAGTGAAAGACTCGACTCACAGCAGTGAGTTGCAGCACTTGGTTTAGCTTTAGATAGCAGCAGTTCCCTAGTTTTAAGGGTTTCCTCTCTGAARAGCTGTAGAGGAAACACGTGTTGTCAGGTCAAATATGTTGCAAAATGCCATGAGGAGAGAGAAATGCATTTTCCTATTGCTAATTACGTACAAAACAAAACAGGGGAAACGCGGGATGCTTCCTCATCTGACTGAAGTGCTGAGAGCCTCTCTGCTTGGTGCAGGTACCGGTACCAATGCCTGCTACATGGAGGAGATGAGACACATCGACCTGGTAGAAGGGGACGAAGGCCGCATGTGCATCAACATGGAGTGGGGGGCCTTCGGCGACGACGGCGCGCTSAACGACATCAGGACCGAGTTCGACCGCGAGATAGACATGGGCTCGCTCAACCCTGGCAAGCAGCTGTACGCACATTCCTGGCCCCAGCGTGGACTTGGGGTTTGCCCGGCGTTTCTGCCCTCCCGTTGTGCTGGCGCGAGCAGGAGCGAAGGGTCATCCTAGTTAACTGGGTCGCAGTGTCCTCGGGGCGCTGGCTGCGCTGGCGCAAAGCGGGGCCGCATCGCCCGCTTGGGTTGGCGCGTCCGAGCGGCCCTCCCAGTGCCCGCTTCCCCGGGAGCCCTTCGCTTGGATAACGTCTCCCTTTCCCTTTCTTCCCCCTTCCCAYGACATAAGCTGTGAGCAGAAGCGAACATCACCACCTAATGTTCGCATCCGAGTCTGACAGACGTGCTGTCTTCGTAGCCGGCATCCTCTCTGCTGGCCTCTGGCAGCACGGGCGGGATGTGGAACACACCTCTAAACTGAAAGACTCCCCGCAGGGAGAGAGGATGTTCTGCAAACCCCTTGCAGAAAGGCGTTCATCATCATGGCTTTGCTTTCTTGGAGATGGGACACAACAAACTGCTCTGGAAAGAGAGCGCCTAGGTTGTATCTATGCCTGGAAGGTCACTAAATACCATTGTTTTTAATGTAGACCTGGCCATGGGCTGCTCTGTACTTGCAGGCGTGTAGGCATGTCATTGATTTGATCAAGTCCTGTGGATGGTGCAATCATCTGCCCTCTTTTGGAGGCACCGTCTGATTTTTGTGCACTTGTGTGCTAGAAAACTGCCCATGCCGTTGGTGGCCAGTTCGTGGTGTGCCCACAATGAAGCAAACACCTCTTGTGCTTCACTTGGCAGGTTTGAGAAGATGATCAGCGGTATGTACATGGGCGAGCTGGTCCGGCTCATCCTGGTGAAGATGGCCAAGGAAGGGCTCCTGTTCGGTGGGAGACTCACGCCGGATCTGCTCACTACTGGCCACTTCGAGACTAGATTCGTCTCTGCCATTGAGAAGTGAGTAGCATCTAGGTGCTTTTTTGAAGTGCTGGCCCACCTCTGGCTTGTGCAGCTGGAGCAGGACCCATCGCAGAGCTGTTCCTTGGGCCAAAGACAAACACTTCATATCACAAAAGCGACATTGCCAGGCACAAATCCCTTTTGTTCCTTGACAGGGAGAAAGAAGGGCTGTTCAAAGCCCATGAGATCCTCACCAAGCTGGGCTTAGAGCCATCTCACGAAGACTGCGTGGCCACCCACCGCATCTGCCAGATCGTGTCCACCCGCTCGGCCAACCTGTGCGGGGCCACCTTGGCTGCCGTGCTGCGGCGCATTAAGGAGAACAAGGGGCTGGACCGGCTCCGCTCCACCGTCGGCGTGGATGGCTCTGTCTACAAGAAGCATCCACAGTAAGTCCATGAGCTTGGTCGAGGCCGGCGGGGAGCAAGATGGGCTCTGGTGAGAGAGAAAGTCTGGTCTTGCAGAACCAGATCTTCTGCCAGCAGTAAATTCAAGGTTAGCATGAGGAGAGCATCTCAGAGCGTCCCCAGGGCTGCTCCATTGGGATCCCAGAGGGATTCGTGATGCCCAGGACCGCGTGGCCTGTGGTGGCATGCTCAAGTCTTCTCCTTTCTCCCGCTCCCGCCTAGCTTTGCCCGGCGCCTCCACAAGACGGTGCGGAAGCTGCTGCCTGACTGTGACATCCGCTTCGTGCGCTCCGAGGACGGGAGCGGCAAAGGGGCGGCCATGGTCACCGCCGTGGCCTACCGGCTGGCCGCCCAGCACAAGGCCCGCCAGAAGACCTTGGAAGCCCTCAAGCTGAGCCACGAGCAGCTCCTGGAGGTGAAGCAGAGGATGAGGCTGGAGATGGAGAAGGGGCTGGGCAACGGCACGCATGCGGAGGCCACCGTGAAGATGCTGCCCACCTACGTGTGCTCAACCCCGGATGGCACAGGTGACATACTCCATAGCCAGCAGCTCAGAGCCAGCGGCTCTGCTTTCTGGGGACCATTGTTGTGGTCGCCTCACTTTTTATGGTGAGAGCAGCACAGGGTTTTTGTCCTCCTAGCGCAGCGCTGGAGCTCCAGGACGCTCCATGCATGAGGCTTAACATGCTTTGCTTTCATAGCTGAAGGTCTCTCTTGCCTTGAGCTCTGCTCCCAGTTCCATCCCTCGGCTCAGGTGTCCCCTTCTGTGACTTCACACCCTGGTGTCTCCCTGAGGCTGGAGCCGACATCTGCGTGGCCTTCCTGCCTTCTCACCTGCTCTTCCCTGTTCTCAGCCGCTTCTCGAGTTTCTGGTTCTCCCAGGAAGGAGGCATATTCACATCAGCCTTTGGGCCGCTCTCACAAGGCTCCGTGTTGGGATCTCCCTCTTCATGACTCTCCCTTGGCTTTCAGAAAAAGGAGATTTCCTGGCCCTGGACCTGGGAGGGACGAATTTCCGTGTGCTGCTGGTCCGCGTGCGCAACGGGATGAGGCGTGGCGTGGAGATGCACAACAAGATCTACTCCATCCCTCTGGAGATCATGCAGGGGACTGGAGAGGAGGTAAGGATGTGCAGCTGGGGATGGGAGGGGAATAGCATCTTCCCTATAGGAGCTGCAGAAAGGACACTATAAGCAGTATAGCGTGTAGCCACCCCAGATGGCCAGTGTTGGCCCACAACAGGTTTTGGTCTGGATGGCACAAAATGAGGAGTGTGGAGGACGCTGGTGCAAAGCCCTCGGTGATGTTCTGTGCGCGGCACTGCTCTTTGAAATGTGCTTTAGTAAGTGCAGAACTGGTTTTAGGTTAAAACTGTGATTCCCAGGCTTCACTGAGCCTCCCTGGATCCCACGCTCCCTGCAAGGGGAGATAAACATCAGCCCCGTTTCCCAGATAGGGAAACCACAACAGAGGCACCCAGGGATATCTCCAGAGCCACATTCGCAGACCGAAAGGTTTTCGCAAACCACTTCAAACACGGTTTGGGGAATGGGAGTTTTTCTGGCAGGAGCCGGGGCGGATGGGCCACCTTGTGAAGGATCACTCATGTGAGGCTGCCACCAACCTCTCCATTGCTCCTGGAGCGACGTGGGGCCTGCAAGATGGAGCTATCACAGCGATATCTCTGCATTGCTAGCAGGGGAGAGGCCCAAGGGAGTTGTTCTGGTTTTGCTGGCCTCCTACGGGGCAGCTAGGCAGCATCCCAGGTCATTCCAAGCCCTGGTGGCTTGGGAACGGGTCGTCCCCAGGACACCATGCAGGCTAAGACCAAGCTGAGCTTCCACTGTGACTGTAACCACCTCCTCTGTGCCCAGCTCTTCGACCACATCGTCCACTGCATCTCCGACTTCCTGGAGTACATGGGAATGAAGGGGGTATCGCTCCCGCTCGGATTCACCTTCTCCTTCCCTTGCCAGCAGACCAACCTGGATGAGGTAAGTGCCACCTTGTGCTCGTCCAACACTGGCTGAGCATCCAAAAAAGCCCAGGGTCCCAAATCCCCGTCCGTGGAGCACATCATGCCGGGATCATATAGGGGTGAAGGCACCTACACACGTGAAGATCTGACCTCCGTGTGGTGGCAGTGCCCAGCACAAGCTACAGGCTCTTCCTCCAGCCCAGCTGCCTGGGTGGCTCAGAGAGCTTTTTCCTCCCACCACAGGGGATTCTTCTCAAGTGGACAAAGGGCTTCAAGGCCACCGGCTGTGAAGGGGAAGACGTGGTGGGCCTGCTGAAGGAGGCGATTCACAGGCGCGAGGTGAGTGTCTGTGGGGCTGCAAGAGCAGCCGCCCGCTCGCTGCGCCCGGCTCTCCTTGGCACCTCTAATTGGGCTGCAGCAGCAAATTAATGGGCTGAGCACAGAGCTAATGAGCACCTGCACTTAAACAGCCACCCTTAGTCATCGCTGGAGGTTGGATTTTCAGGCCCTGGAGCTAAGAGCTTACTTCTGGCCGGGGCTGGAGCAAACTTGTCTCTCCTACAAGGCTGGGAGACTCCGCTCCCCTCCTTCTTGGTGCAGACTCCTCAAAGGCCCCAGGGTGAGGGCTGCTTCAGTGGGGCTGGCCCAGCACGTCCCTTCTCACCTTGCTGGAGGTGTCTCAGTGTGGCCACCTGAAGTTACATGGGCCTGTGGTAGCCCACGGGTGCACCCAGCTCCTTTCCCCTCTCTGGAGAAGGTAGCTCCATGGAGAGCTGTTTTCCAGGAGGGACGACTCCTGGAATCCCTTCCCTCCACAGGAATTCGACCTGGATGTGGTTGCCCTGGTAAACGACACCGTCGGCACCATGATGACCTGCGGGTACGAAGATCCCTATTGCGAAGTTGGCCTCATAGTCGGTGAGAACTGAAGCTTACAGAGGTTCCTCGCCCACGGTGTCCATGGGCACCCATCCACCCCTGCAGACACCTCCTCCGTGTCCACTGTTGAGCGACAGTTCTCTCTCTGCAGGCACGGGCAGCAACGCCTGCTACATGGAGGAGATGAGGAACGTGGAGCTGGTGGAAGGGGAGGAGGGCAGGATGTGCGTGAATATGGAGTGGGGGGCGTTCGGCGACAACGGCTGCTTGGACGACGTGCGGACAGAGTTTGACTTGGCGGTGGATGAGCTGTCCCTCAACCCCGGGAAGCAACGGTGCGTGGGGGCCTTGCTGGCTGGGAGCCTCCGTCGCTCCCTTGGGTGGCTGGAACAAGATGCAAAGGGAGATGAGTTTGGGTGTCTGTGAGCAGCTCTGAGCTCCCCATCAACCTTTGGGTGGACCGTGGGTGTCAGCAGGGTGGTCTGGCTCTGTTGTGAGATTCCCATCCTAGCTCTCGGCCCCACTTCTTTCTTGCTCGCTGCATTTTCCCCTGGGCACCCAGACTTGGGGAATTAGCCCATATCTCCTGGGTCTCGCATGCGGCTGTGTCCTTCCCTGCCCTGATGTTCGGTCCTGCTCTCTCCTCTCCAGGTTTGAGAAGATGATCAGCGGGATGTACCTGGGGGAGATTGTTCGAAACATCCTGATGGATTTTACCAAGCGAGGGCTGCTCTTCAGGGGACGCATCTCAGAGAGGCTGAAGACCAGGGGCATCTTTGAGACCAAGTTCCTGTCCCAGATAGAAAGGTGAGCTCAAGCAGGCTGGTTGAGCCCTGGTTTCTAGCCTTGTTGCTGCAGGCCAAAGCAGAGCAAGAGCTTGGGGAACATATCCCCAGGCCTGATGGAGACATCTCAAGTGCTTGGCTCCTTCTGGAGCCAAAGATGTTGCACGATGATGCAGAGGAAGACAGCAAAGTTTTGGTGCCATCCAAGTCAGGGACTCTGCAGGGCTGAGCTGCCCTGTGTGCTCATGCTGCATCTGCCATGTGTCCTCTGCAGTGACCGCCTGGCCCTGCTCCAAGTGCGCTCCATCCTCCAGCACCTCGGCCTGGAGAGCACGTGCGACGACAGCATCATCGTGAAGGAGGTCTGCACGGTGGTGGCCCGGCGGGCAGCGCAGCTCTGTGGGGCCGGCATGGCCGCCGTGGTGGACAAGATCCGGGAGAACCGCGGGCTGGACTTCCTCAAGGTCACGGTTGGCGTGGATGGCACGCTCTACAAGCTGCATCCTCAGTGAGTCGCATCCCTGCGTGCGGGGGGCTGGGGTGTCCCCCGAGGAGAGCAGGGTGGGTTGGTGCAGCCAGAGGGGACAGGAGGGTGTTGAAGGTCTTGAAGCCCCTAGTGGGGCTGTCAGTGCCACAGGCTCCCCACGCTGAGCTGGGCGAGGTGCCACGAGGGCGGCTGTTCCCTAAGGAAGGGACACGAGGGCCGGCCGTTCCCCAAGGGACAGAGAGGCAGGAGGCGAGGAGGTAACATAACYGGCAGGTCCTGCCGCACCATCCCGGAGCGAGACGAGCAGGACAGAGCTGGGGATCGGGTTCAGCCACGAGCTCAGATCATCAGGCGAGGGATGAGGCTTGTCCAAGACCAGGCTGAGAAGTTGGGCTGCAGGCCAGGAGCAGGTCTGGGAACTGCCGGGCAGCTCCRTGCTGATAGGGTAGGTCAAGGTCTGGATTGTCAAGGTCTGGATCAACAAGGTCTGTCATCAGGCGCAAACCTTGTAGAGACCACCACTTGTGGGAGAACATGYGGGCAGGGACTAAGGACCCAAGGCTGAGTGCTGAGCTTAAATGGGGCTGCTGGATCTATGGGTTTAGGGCCATTAAAGCTTATTAGTGCTTCAATTAACACCTTAATTAGGGCCCTGACAAGCTCCACCTGGGTGGGGGTAGCAGGTAGCAGATTTAGGCCTGTCTGGGAGTAGGACCATARTACATGTGAGCAAGCACGAATGTGGCTGAAGAGGTTTGGACTCTCTGATGTCTACCATGTGGCTGGGCTTGCTATGGACTCTGCAGCGCTGCTGGGGAGCCCCTTGAAGCCCCCATGGAGGCCAAGGGGGTCGTGGCTGTGAGGCTGGGCTGCCAGCCCCGCTCATCACCTCCTCCTCCCGCAGCTTCTCCACGGTCATGCACGAGACGGTGAAGCAGTTGTCCCCTAAGTGCGAAGTGACCTTCCTGCAGTCAGAAGACGGCAGCGGCAAGGGCGCCGCGCTCATCACGGCCGTGGCCTGCCGCATCCGCGAGGCCGGCCAGCGGTAGAAACGCTGCGGTTGGCCACGGGCTCGCGCTCGGCAGAGCAGAGGACGTTCCCCTTCCCGCGCCCGCTCCCCTCCTCGGTACCCACCTTGCACGCAGCCTCTCGGCTCGCCGGGACGCGGCTCCTGAGGCGCTGCCTCCTCTTCGGAGCTTGCCCGCCCGCCGTCAAAGCAGGAGCTCCGGGAACGCTCCAAGCGCCTCCCGCCCGCGTCCCCGCGTCTCCACCCGGAGCGGGCCCTGTTCCGCCCAGCCCGCCCTGCGCACCAGCTCTCCACCCCATAACCTCCCCACGTGCTCCCTGACGGCAGCAAGGATAACGCTAGAATTATTAAGATACTGCAATGTCACTTTACAGAAAACCGGTACCTATTTGTGTTAGCGTCATCGCAGTGGTGTGTCCATGCTCTAGAAGTCAAACCTCTTTGAGATGGGGCTAAAGACCTCTGCTAGTCTTTGACCCTGATCAAGGCTGTATTATTTCCATGAAAGTCATGGCAACTCRTAGACACGCCGGGTGCGGCGGCAGGAGCGAGAGATACCGCGTATCTCTGCAGAGCAGGCAGCGGGAGCCGGGCGCCCGCGCGGGGTTCCGGCGTGGAACGGGCCTGGAAATAATTGGAGACTCAGGGTCTGCTCCCATTTCCCCACCTCGCACCCCCGTCCTCAGCGGAGCCCTGTGCTGTGAGCCCYGTAGCTGACGTCTGCATTCACACGCTGCGTGTTTTGTGTTTCAGGAGCTCGTGTGTCTTCTTTTCATGTACATAGTCTCCGGAAGGAGGGCCTTAGGGCTAAGTTTGGACTTCAAACAGCACTTGAGAGCAGTACGGAGTACTTTTTTTTTCTTGTTAGTTTTATTTTTCTAATTTAATTCTTTTCTTGGGTAGACTGGAGAAATAGACCCAAGCTCTTGACAGGGGACAGGCAGAGGAGACGTTCGTCTCCCTCCATCCCAGCAAAAGGGAAAGGCCAAGGGCTGTGCGCGGCCAGCACCCTGCGCGCCCCGTGCGCACCCCCAGCGCCCTCCCCTCGCTGCTCCTCTCAAGAGTTAGTGGCAAATAACAAAATTTTAGCAATGTACAAAAAAGCAGAAAAAAGAAAGTCCCACAAACAGACCTTCGGAGGATAGAGGTTTTATTGATTTATCTGATGTCTATTTTTATACTGCTCGGGGAAACTTGCTTCCCCAAAGTCTCTGCGGTGGGAGGGGATCGAGTTCAGTAGCACAATTTTAAAGGAAAATTCTTCTTTTGGCATTTCAAATGCTTATTTTTTTACAAGCCTCAGAGTAATTCTAACAAAGCCTGGCTGTATGTAGCAATAATGTAAGAAATTTAGTGGAAGGCGTAGATGTTAAATAATTGTTTTTTTTTTTTTAAAAGAAAAAAATGACATAGAAATCCTCTAATCTGATACCAAGCAGTTGTGCATGATGCTTTCTGGGGAAGAGCAGCATTGCGCCTGCTTCAGAGCTGGGACAGAAATGCTTTTACCTGCCTTGGGTCCAGGGCGAGGAGGAGCTGCAGGGTTGCTCGCTGCRCGGCCGCCTGCACCCTCCGAGCTACCCATTCCCGTGGGATGTCATGTGTGTGCGTTTAAAATAAATAARGGAAGAACTGATCCTGAATATCGCTATGAAGGGAAGAGCAAAGCGAGAGGGAGAGCGAGACGAGGCGGGACAGACGATGCTCTTGGCCCTGGGTCTTCGGAAGGGCTGCTCTGCGGGAGTAGGACGGCTTTGCGCTTGCTGAGTTGAGCCATTAAGATGCACTTTGCCCCCCCGCGCCAGCTCCCAATCGAAGGGAGAGCTCTTCTCTTTGCCAGGGCAAAGGCAAGAGCCTGGCATCTCGTGGGCTGCAAACACAGGAACCGCATCCTAGCGGGGCTGCGGGCTCCACGCAGGGCAGGGCGCGTTACATAAAGCCAAAGACTGTTCGGCTGCTAGCAGAAATGAGTGACTGTAGTTTCATCTGATGTTCTGTAATTCAGTGTTTACAATATTTATTTTTAGTAATTGACAGCAATTATATATCTATATATATAGGCTTCCTTATTTTTGTATTTTACATACCGTTTTCTCGAGTGTGGTATTGTACTTCTCAGCTCCCCTTGGCCACCATTGCTGCTCCTAGTCAGTGACAAATAAAACAGAGCAAAAAGCAACACGTGTTGTGAGCGAGTCGTGATGTGCTCGGGGGGGTTCGTGCTCCTCTCCCTCCTGTGCCCTGCCCTGCAGCCCCTCACCAAGCCCTTAGGAAGGGCACCGGCCCCTCTGGCCCCATTTTGGTCTTGGCAAAAACCTAAGCTGGGTGCTGTGCTAGGTGAAAGCCTTAACGTTCCTCTGCTCTGCTCCAAAGAGAGAGATTTAACGTGTTAGGCAGAAGGGCATTCACTGGCAGCATCCAACACAAAACACCATTTAAGGCAGAAAAGGATAGACACTGATAACTATGCCATTTGAAATCATTTATTCGCAAGTTGCCTTTTTTTCCCATCTTATCTAACACTGTTTTTTTTTTATCTTTGTTATAAAGTACAAAGGGTTTTTATACTTTCTGACAACATTAAAAAAATAGGCTACTAAAGAGGCAAAATTCTCACTTTGAATCCAAAAATCCTCATGTAAGAATTCAAAATAGCAGTAGAGAAACATAAAAACCAACCAATACATACAAAAAAACTAATACAATGTACCTCTTACTCTTGACTGGTTCATTAAACCAACTCAGAATGAATCCCTTGTTCCCAGCTCTCATGGTGGAGCCTGTGACCTCGCTTAACTGATGTGAAGTTTGTGTTAACACATACGACTYGAAAGGCACTCAAAGGTCACAGATTCCTGAGCTAAAGCAGGATAGATTCCCAATGTAACATTTAAAAGAAGCCACCAAAAATGAAAAGAGTTTAAAAAAATGGTATTTGGTTTACATGAGTACATTAAGGATTCAGTAGAATCCTTGGTGAGCTGCTGCTGTATAATAGACTTAAATAACAGTTAGTCCATTAGAGAATTCTCAGTACTTGGAAAAAAATCACTTCTGAATATCCTCAACTGAAAATTCATTTGCTAAGAAAAAAAAAAAAAAGGAAAGTTTTTTTCCACATAACATTAAAAATAAAAGGCCTAAGAGCAATAAGGAAAGATATATCTAATGAGATGTAATAAAGGCTTAAAACCAAGCAACTCCGAAAATCTGTACAAACACTTAAATGACTAACAAAAGTTGACAGGCAATATTTACACAGATGTATCTGGCCCTGATGAAAAAGGACACAATTAAGCAGATGATGTTTCTGGTATTTACAGATCAGTTATTAAAACCAAAACAACCCAAACCAACCGAACCTAAACCACTAAACACACACACAGAGGCTACCATGTGTGCTTGAGATTTTACAAGGTAAGCTAGTAATGCCATTCACACAAATTCATTATTTCCAATTTGGCTCAGATTTTGCCCAGAGAAACAGAAATAAAACATGGAATGGCTACTGTCTGAAAATGCAAGACAGAAAGATTAAAAAAATAAAAGAACAAATAGGAGATAACTAGTTTTGGCCTATATCATTTCAGGTATGCATAGGAGTATACTGAGGCTGCAGAACAGCCATATATATTTGCTACAGTGTAAGGCCTTTTCTTTTTCCCTTGTCATAGCTCTGTGCGTCAGCAGGGCATTTAATTTAAAGCAGGGCATAGAAAGTTAGAGAAGTGCTACTATATTCCACCGAGGAGGTCTCAGCTTTCTGAATTCTCTAGCAGTGCCTCACTCTCCGTTTTCTTCTCTGGCGACGTGTACAAGAAGTTACAGCAGATATAGAGTGGGAAGATGAGAAGTCTGCTGTCCAAATTCATGACCACTTGCTCCTGTAAAGCAAACACAGGGGAGGTTCTTAGGGTAAGTGATAACATTCAAATTTACAGGAAGCACAACAGGGAAACAGGCAATCCGCCGAGTGGCATATTAGCCACAAAAGAATGCACGTGATCGATAGTCATTCTCTACAATTCCAGTTACTATGTACATATAAAATAATAAGCCAAAGCTAGCTCAAGATAATCATTCTCCTTTACGTTAAGCAGGTGTTTTACAACACCCACACTGATAAGGTGTTCTCAACCCGGTAATAACCCTTTGTCTCACTGCCTCCATCCCTCTGCGTCAAGGATTACCAACTGTAAAAAAGGGACTGTGCAACCTTTACCTCCCAAAGCAAGCCGGAGAGAAAAGCAGACTTCTCTGTCACTATCACTTTCACCACATTTAACAAATTGTGCACTCCGTAACAGGATTTTAAGACAAATCATGGTTTCTTGGCAAGACTTTTTTGCTTGTTACCCTAGGAACTAGTTCTGGGATGGCAAAATAGTCCCATAGTATGGACCATATTTACCAAGAGAACATTTCCATGCCCTTGCCATCTTMATGTCACTGCTCGTGAGGATTTAAGGGGCCTGATGACCAGTAACAATATAGCAATAAACTTTACAGTAGTAAATACCAGCCTTGAACAATATGCAGACATTAAGTCTTCAACGTGCACATTCTTCAAATAAAGGCCAGCTCCAAATAAGGAGAAGTCCAAACTTCATGCAGTAGTTACTCAATACTGACTACTATATTGTAACATAATGATTAAAAAGGAAACCTGAAGAGTTCCTATTTACTAAAAACTACTTTCTCAAAAATGGCACCAATTTTAATTACACACTTTAGCACAACAACCTGCTCTTGGTCTTGGCTATCCATAAATGATAAAGAAAATATTTTTTTTATACCCAAAATATTGCCAGATGGAACCTAACTCACCAGCGTGGAAAGTCKGGGAGAGCAAGCAGCTGTTTAGAAGAAGGGTAAATTATCAGCAGTCTGAAGCAGCACCATAGGAACCGATTTCACTAACATAAGTAAAATCAACCCTAAGAAAGTCTGAAGTGTCCTGCTCTACTTGCACTTCACAAATTCACTCTAACCTTCCATTACCTATAAAGGAAGCTTGTGAAATTCCATAAGAAACGACAGCAAGGAAGAAAAACTTCTCAAAAGTACTGCTGACTTCCTAGCATTTTAAAAAAGCTTTTGACACCAACTAATTGCAAGTTCAATGAATTAAAAACCCAAACATACCTGGTCCTTCTCAAGGGTTAGGATCTGATATCCTGTTGTTCTGCTGCAAATGATTTTCCCACTGCTATCAAAAGAGGCCAGACGTAACCTAGGGGTTTAACAACAGTTTAATCATCTCATCTCCCACAACTAATTTTTTTCACKACAAAAAGCTTCTCCCGAGGAAGGAGAATAACATTTTGAAACGTAACTAACTTTGCGGCAACAAAATTAATTGCAAGAAAAGGGAAGAAAAAAMCACTTTGTTGGGGCAACAGACTTGAGGGCACGCCGCAGAGCCYGGCTTCTTGGTTATTTGGTACCTGAAGGCTATGTTTCTGCGAGGCTGCAGACTGACTGATCCGCTGCACGGCTGATTCAGCGTGTTTCGCTTGAAAATGATATAACGATTTGTGTAAGTAACAAGGAGGTCGAAGCCGAAGTTGAATCCAGTCCATCGCCAGCAGTACTGAGAACACAGGTGGAAAATGGTAACGCCATGAGTATTTGCTTACTACAGGAGGAAACATAAGTGCCACTTCAACAAGTGAAACGGAGGCGCTTGGGGAGGGGACTCTCGGCTACAGAGAGGCAGGCGGCTTCTTGCCAACCTAACTGAAACACAGACATCTACACAGGCAGCCACTCCAGCTGCCAGCCCTTCAGACACAGGGTTAGAGAGAACCTTAATATCCACCGCTGGGAAAAGACATTTAATGTACATGCATACAACATGCCTCTCCCTTCTGGTAATCAGTGTGGTATTTCTGAGCAACTGCTGGCCCCATCCACATGTACCGCTCTCCTTTGAGGAAAACATCCTTATTCCCAGTGACTTCAGCGGGAACAAGACGATGCTTCCTAGTTTTCCCATGAGCCTGTCACCTAAGGCACGCGCACATGGAACACACGGGGCTTCAGACAGTGGCTAGTAAACCRCATGACTAGAAAAACTTCCTTTGCTGCTCTGGAAAGACAGTCATTGGTGAACCGAGCCACATCTTAGCTGCACGTATTTCACAGATCTTGGATGACAGGCCACGTCCCTATTTCCGCCTTTTGCACTCCACAAGTCTTTTTTTTTTTTTTTCTCCTCCCCAAATATGGGCTCGTTTGTAATGCAAGACCAAAATTAAAACAGTAATTTCTTACTCATCACCGAAACAGCAGGCTTTTTTACTCTTTTAGAGAGAACAAAGCAGTTTCTCTAATGCATCACCTCCATTACATCTTTTTGATGCAGTTTGACAATTAAGACCTGTGTGTTTTGAAAATACCTAACATGCCCAAGACATGTCAGCTATGCAAAAAGCAAGCCACATGCTGTACTTACATCACCATCCTTTGCAAGTTTTCTACCACACCTCATGCTGTTTCCTTCCAGTTCTTCTTTATTTATTTCTTGAGGCCTACAAAAATAAAAGGTGCAACTTTAAGGACATTTAAACACCTTTCTATGCTACTTTCAAGTGGGAATGACCAAGAGGCCCAGGTAACCTGGTGTGACCCTGTTCTGAGCAGAGGCTGGGCCAGATGACCTCCCCAGCTCCCTTCTGACCTGAACTACCCTATGATTATGAAGCAGTTCCACAAAACTGCAATATAAATCAGATTGTAAAAGCCCTGCTTAATCGAGGCGTAGCACAGGCATCTTTCCAGGGTAGAAGGGCACTTTTTATTTTTGTGCTCAGCTGTCGCAACAAGCTGCGTTCTGCAATCGCCCTCGGAAAGAACAACCTTTCTAAAGGCAGCGCTCCGACTTCCTTGGCAGGACTCTGCACCGGGCAGACGCCCCCCCAGGAGCCGGGCGGCGATTTCTCAAGCCGCTGCTTATGCAACTTGCCTAAAAAGGTCAGCCCTGAGTGAGCACCAAGGGACGCAGGCCCCTTGCTTCTGCAGACCACGGCAGCACGAGCGTCCCGCGCACGGCGGCTTCCCTCGCAGCTCCAGCGCAGCCCAATTTGAGAGGTGTTGTTACTCACTCAATTTTAATAGTGGTTACATCACCAACCACATAAGCAACCATTGCCAGCAAGTCTTCAAATTACACTGAGGACAAATGTTTAAATTGGGTAGTGTAAATCACAGTAAAGGGTAATCCCTCCACACATTACATTAAAACGCCACCACACTAAAAAAAATGTACTTTTAGCTATATAAGCAAGCAGAAATGCAGCATGTCTTCTTTTCCTGCTCCAAACGCAGCACGGGAACTCATGGCTACAGCTTTTATGGACAAACCCACTGTGTGGTTTTCCCCCCCCATTTCTGTAAAAACGAAACCTGGAAGATCACAAATTTCATGAGCAGGTTAAGCAAATCAGCTAATCGTGCTAACCAAATCAGCCCAGAAAGCTCCTGCACGTTTCTTCCGCATCTTCTAACCAACCTGGTTATGTAACTGACCTACATTCGGCAGTAGTGATAAAAGATTCATTTCCGTTTAATAAATCACAAAAACACGAGCACACAATCGAGGCAGACATTAGTGTTCCCCCCTCCTTAGTTCCTTGAAAAGCTTCAGAAGATGCAGAACTTTCTGCCCTTAAGCACCTAGAGGAGCCCACTGCACGCACAGCCAAGAGGCAAGTTATTCTGTTTCGTTCCTAAAACGCTGCCAAGACGCAGCCGGAGAGGGAACCGTTCCAGTCATGGGCTTAAAAGATTTGTCGCCCACCTGTCATAGGAACAAATGTTTAATTGTGGAAAAATAAATGATCCACTTTGAGTGCAAATATGTAAACCCAAAGCAGCTACATTTCAAAGTCACAGATTCCAGCATTACAGCAAAAACAAAGTCTCAAAGTTCGAAGAATAGCACATTTAATCCTTTTAAATGCAAACTATTTAACGTAGAAGAGAGACATTTTTCTCCCCTCTCTAAGGCTGTCAAAAGAGTGAAGAGCACCGTGCACTTTAAAGCAAATTAACTTCCCGTTTAGCAGTCTGGGGCTACGCAGGCGCTATTGGGCTCGACCAGGTCAGACACGAACACAGAGCCGAACTTCAGCTCAGGGGCACTTGCAGTTCATGTTTTGCTCAGCTTGCAAATTTGCACCCCAGTCTACAGAGAAAAACTCAGGCAATGTACACATATATAAATGTATAAATATAAGCATCACATGTGAGAGAAAGGACAGCAGAGCTGGATAAGAAAATGGGCTTAGAGAACCTTCATGTGTTTTTCTTCTAKCTCCAGGTTAATTAAATCCCCCAAATACTTGCTTGAGCACAAAGCAACAGTTGCATCTCTCCCCTTTTAGGGTATCAGTTAGGAGCCACTGGCATCTCGCTACAGGGCATCAATACTGCTTGCAAGCAGAAGAGAGAAGTTATCTCAGAAATAGAAGAAACATTCACATATTGGGTAATACAGAACAGCATTGCAACAGAGCTGCTTACAAAGAAATTAAAGGGAAGTACCTTTATAGAGCATCTTGCTTCCACTTAACTCCAGAGAACGTGTTCACAGGCATGTATGTGTGTATATATATATATATTTATATATATATATATGTATGTATATACACACTCAAAAAAGACRAGCACCAAAGATAAAAGGCCCTGAAGAGACACTGCTCATTTCAGGAGCCAGTGAAATCATCACTGATGTAGCTGAACACGCGAGTGTTTGATTTTGAAGCTCGTGTCGTGGCCTGTCACCTCCACTTCAGTTCTGTACAGTGTCTCACTTCTCAGCAGCACATAAAACAGATGGTTGGCAATTAAAATACTCTCACTGCCTTACAGCGAACTACTGAAAGGCAGCAAAACCCAACAAATCTGAAGTCTTTTCTTGTGTCAGGGCTTTGACGGCTTCGTGAAACTCACTTTTATATTACCTGTGATTCTCATGTGGTAAGCCAGAATGTCAGAGCCAGAAGGTGCAACATATGATCTTCTACTGTTAGATACAGACAGCAGCATTATAGTTTTCCCCCCACAAGAGAAAACTATCAAAAACAAGCTATGAGCACCCTACATGGAACTTTAGAAGAGATTAAGAGATTCAGGATTATGTTCTTCGCCTTTACCATTTTCTAAAGCACTGCTTTGGCCAAAGAAAACCACTGTTAAAGATCTAACGTCCGAAGAATAATAAAGAATTTGGGTTTTTTGTTTGGACTGATATATGAAAACCATCAAAAGTAAGTAATTAAGGAATATAACCCAGAATTAAACTATAGAAGATGCTGACAAAGGATGCTTGGAGTCAATTTTAAATTGTTTCAAAAGAGAACTGGACATACATAAAACATATAAAAACAGGTCTATTGGTGCTGTTTAGTAATGATCCAGCTAAAATCTCCACATGGAAAAATCTTGAACTACTCAATGCCAGAAAAACACACAAAGAGAACAACCTCCCTTCAATTACACATAAAGGCGATAGGACATATATAATTATTTACCATTAAGCACTGTCACAGACTGCATGCCCTTTGGTGAAATTCAGGGCAGCAATTCTTAGGCTTTTTAGGTTGGATTTAATAAATTAAGCATAGCTCTGCAATGGAGCACGCTCATCTCAGTAACACCAGATATTGGATTAACAGAACCGATCAAAGAAAATTGGGGAATAAGTTTACTGATCTTTTTAAAGGCAATAAACAGAACACAGCTTCCTAACCTGCCAAATATCTTCCACAAAACACGCTAAAATACCAAGGCAAACAACGGCAAGGTCACCTTCCTCAGTCCCATTCTGCCTTGGTTTCGGGCCTTAGAAAGAGACCAGTGTGATGTGGCAAAGAGCAAGAGGAAGGAAGCGAAACAGTTTCTCATCACGTGCCTTGAACATGCATTAAGTAAACAGCCACCGCGACAGCCCTCGCCTGCTACGTGCTCAGGAAGCCCAAATGTGCCCTCTGTGCCAGGCTGCTACGGGACACCAGGGTGCGTGCGCGTGTTCGGGGCAGCAAAGCCAAAGCCCGCGTGCCAGCAGGCGCCTTCAGTGCCCAGGTAGCCGTGCAATGGGATGTACAGGTGGGATGTAAACCGAGAGCATTATGGAGGGAATAAGGTCATAGCAGTGGAAGATGCAGCATCAGAAAAGCTGTAGGTGCTGCCCCAGGATGGGAGAGGCAGGGGCAAAGGTTGCTGCACACTTATCTCTGCCTAAACCCAAATGACAAATTGCCTTTTATACCACAACAGTTGCCCACTCCACATGCTTTTGCCTACCCCATCCAAAGACGAAGAAGACGGGACAAAAAAAAAAAAAAAAAAAAAAATCCCACCCCCAACACTACTGACCCATAAGAAGTCTTTTCTAATAAACTCTTTACAATGGAAGGTTAATAAATTACTAGTTTCACAGCCTAAACACATCAAAGCAGTGTTCCAGCAATCGGTATTAACCAATATAAAACAATATAAACCACAAACACACAAACAAAAAATATTTATCTCTTATAAAAGTGACAACTTTCCTAGAGTTTTATTGTTTAAAAGATAGGAGCTCAGCCAGCCCAAGGGAAGGTGGCCCCACAGAGAACATGAGATTAAAACCACTGAGATATGCATCCCCCCCTCCTATTTCAATGTAAACTGTATTTACCATTTGGCGTTTATGTCAAGGGAAGGTTTCTACTTAAAGAAAGAAAGAAAGGAAAGCCTGTAATATACCTACCCAATATCATTGTCTTGTTCTGCTCTGAGCATGGCAAACCACTGCTGTTTGTAAACAGAAGACAGCCATTCTAAAAGTAAAATAAATAAATAAATAAACTCGGTGTGTTCTTTGGAGCTGGGAACAGGGATGTTTATAAACATTTGAAATACAAGAATAAAATTACATTGCAATGACAAGTTCATACTTCTTAACTGGACGACCTATGCAAGCCCACCTGGAGGGCTGAAGGTTAATTCACCTTCAAGTCCCAATCACAGAGGCAACACAGATCAAACTGAATAACTAGCACTAAGTGACTGTTTTCATCCCATGAAGCCCTCAGGATTCCCCCAAATAATGCAACTCCAGAGATTATTTCTTCAACACACAAAGCTCTGTGAAACTAAGAGCTGGCTAGCAAGTCCTTAGAAGAAAATCCTGTTTTCTGCATTTCAAATAAAACATCTGCTAATTTCACCTCTTAATCTGGAAGCATCAGAAGGGAATTAGTGTTCGGAAATGCTGACAAGTTACCAGGTGAAGAAGAATAATGAACTTTTCACTTACAGACATGTTATGGATGCATCTTTTACATACTTAGAAAAAAGAAAAAAAGAGAAAAAAATTCACTGGGAATCTCTAGTCTAGTGTTTTCTGCTCCTCTTGCAGGGGCTACGTGCATACAGAGCATAAAATATTAAGAACATCTTTCTTTCAATTATTCAAAATACCTTCTATCTTGCTAGAGAATAATTTAGTTTAAATTAATCAAAAAGCTTTAAACTACCACACAAGCTACCCAGAAATTTCCATCTTTACCACCCAAACATCTCAGATTTTTGATGCTGGCAAGCAATAATCCATTCAAAAACCACACTGTTAGCACTTCTCTAACCCTCCTTTCACACGGCAAGCCAAGCTCCCCATCTTACTACAGCTGTTGGCTCCCGACACATGTGAGCAGATTGCAAAAGCTACCGTGTGTCCAAGCCCAACTGCACAATTTCATTAAACATTCAAAGGTCTCCATGTGATGTTTCGCTTCCCTCTCTTCTCCTACAGTTCTCTTAATTAAAAGCTTTTATTTCTTTTTTGTTAAAAAGAAGAAGTAGAGTTGAAACCTCAGACACTCTACCCACATTAGCCACATATGCAACAATTCCTGTAAATCAACTTGCCCCTGTAACCCTGCAAAGTGTCCAGGCCTCTATTATAAGCTTTTTGCACGGCTTATGAAATGCTTAAGCATGAAAGATTTTGCTCTCTGATGTTTAGAACTAYGTGAAAATTACTTACTCTTTGCCATTAAGCATAAATTTATCAGCCTCAAAGTTGCAATCATTCCTTAATGATTTAAGAAGTGTCGTTACTGCATGTGCAGAGATACATGGGTTTTGATTTCGTGTCTATGTGCTATTCACAGTAAAATGTTAAAGAAAGTCTACTCGGTACAGTCCTGAAAAACAGCAGCAGCAAGGGGCAGAAGAGCAATTCAAGTCTAGTCCTGGCAAATTGCCATTTGCAACATTTTATTCACTTGCCGATACAGAAATGAATGAGATTCTCCTGTATCCTGTCATTAAATTAGGTAAGGATTTAAACTGTCCTTTCCCAGAGCTATCTTTTTTTCTATTATAAAATGAAAGCACCTTTGCACTTAYATTTGTACCAAAAATCTAACTTAAAAGCACTTAGTAAAACTGGTTATATTGACATTTTACATCACTCGAGTATATCAGATACCACATGCCACAAAACAGATCTATTCCTCTAGTATGATTATGTAAAATAAAAAAATATCCTCACTGACTCTGTGTTCCAAACTGCTCCACCTCCTGGACATAACTGACCAAGCCATGGCCAAGAGTCATCGGTGCCTCTGCTCAGGCAGCTGCTCTATCATGCCCTGGCTCCATCTGCTGTCCAAAGAACACTTCAAGAAATATTCACAGCACAGCAGAACCAAATTTCCTTCATATTGCCTCAGTCTATTTAGATATTAATTTATATCACAACTACAAATAAAGATAGCCAAGGCACTCAAGCAGTAATAACTGTTTATATTAACTTACAGATTGCAGTCTTTAAAAAAAGGGAGGGAAAGAAAGACCCTACCCACTTACATGTACTCATGATCYTTATCGTAATCATAATTCAGCTCTCATCAGCTACATTCTTTGGGAGGGAGATTTGCTCAAGGCTATTCCGGGTGCAAGCTTGCGGAGCAACTAAACCACTATTTCTGACAATAAAAGAAGGATACAGCAGTACAAGAAGGGCAGGCCAAATAAAACAACACTTCTTACATGATCAAAATGGCAAGGAAATGGTTTAAAAATGATCAAACAGGCTGATCAGGCTAGCAAACTTCAAAGGAAAGATCCTGACAAATCTGCTTTGCCATTACGGTATCATGATGTTGACAGCTTGGAAGGCATGGGGAAAAAAGTGTGAAATGATGAGAAAAATAATTTTAGCTCTACAGAATGACATGGAAGTCAAAATCAATTTCAAATATTTACATGTAGCAAGAATTCAAACCAAAGCTAGAGCGATGGGCAAAGGGAATAACATAGATATCAAGAAGATACAAATAATGGAGAGTGATAAAAAGCTCGGTAAGAGTTACCTTAATTGACATTTAGCAATTACCCCTGTGAATAAGTGGCACGGAGATGCAGATGAACAGATAGTTCAACAGTGATAGCACTGAATTTTTCATCCAGACTTTCTCATAGTGGTTTGTCTAGCTTTCATTTGCACAACTTTTATTTCTTAAAGCTAGGATTTAGCCATGATAAGGGCATCCTTAGTCAGGTGTGGAAGAAAAATAACAAGAGTCAAATGCAAAAGGAACCAAGGCAGGGCGCAAGAAGTCAACACACAGAGCACAAGGACCACACTTAACTGGGAAAGAGGCAGATTAAATAAAAATATAGCAATGACAGTGAACCTCTTTTTCAGCTGAAATACCAACCTGACAACTCATTTTGCCTCTATTCAGTCTACAGCCAGGGTTTTCTCAGCTTCCAAGCAAAGAACAATGCTTATTTGCACACTCAGATTTCAAGAGCAAGATGAGGACAGGGCTTTTTATTTCTTTAATAATAGTAATARTAATCAAAGGCCAAATTAAGCTGCATCTTACTCTATGGGAAAAAAATACCAGGACCTAGAATGAGCAGAATGTATTTTATACAATGTGAAATGCAAATACAATTACAAAAGCAGATTATTTAACTATCTAGTCACCTCCAAAAATATCCTAAATATCTGTTAGCAAAGTAGACACTTGTTTTTCAATGCGGAGAAGAGTTCACAGAATCTTGGGCTTTTGTTTACATTACCAGGTATCTTCCAAATTTTATTTAGAAGTACTTTTCTTTTAAAAACATGATAATGGTTAGGACACAAGTTGAGTCACAGGAAGTTCTGTACTCCTAAAAGACAGGTTTTTGTGTGTCTAGGGCTGTGGAGTTATTTAAATGTTGGTAAAATACTATGTGTTGATTTCAGAGTATTAGGAGAAATAGCTCTGTGCATATACTAAAGCTTTTACATGTGTAAATGTAATATTCAGCTCCTCTTGAAACTTCAGCCACCAGTCAGACTTTAGAGATGAGTATGTGAGTGATCAGGTAGATCTGTATGGCTGCTATACACACCTAGGTGTTTTCTTCTCAATTACTCTAGGATAAATCAAACCAGGAAAACACAGAAAATTTGATCGTTTGCATACGATCATTTGCTCACCTGAGGGTATCAGATAATCTCTCTCAATAATTCTGGCCGATGCCAAGTCACTGATGATGTACTGCAATCTCAAGTGTTTGAATACTGGCAGGAATGCACACCCTTGTTCTGATTCCAGAAATGCAATGTCACCCTGAAAATCTGCAAGACAACACACTTGTGTCACAATTTATTTTCCTAAATATTCTCCAGAACTTCCCTTTGTTCATTAGGGGAAGTTACTATGGACAGGAAAATTACATTTTGCAGTTTAAAATAACTGACAGATTTTTCTTTTTGATCTCAAAGTTACTTACATTCAAACCACTTCAGCAGAAATGTTAGACCAAACTTACCTTCTTTTGAAATGCACCTGTCTTCTCAGGAGAAGACCAAAAACAAAGTTTAACCTAATTATGCAAAACCTGTTCAGTGAACACACCTGATCACTTCAGAGGAGGCAGACAAAAGAGTTAAAATCAATGACAGGAAAATTGAAGCTAAAGCTGCGGCAAGTCTTTCCAAAGAAAAGAGGATAGAGTCTGGATATGGGGGAAGACTTTCCCATTGTCCTGCCCCTGCACCCTCCACCTGTGGTCCAAGGCCACGCCAGTGATCCTACCTTTTCTACGCCTGGCAAACCAGGCATCAGCTTCTGTTAAAAGTTGTTTCAGAGATCCATTCCAAGAAGGCACGAGCTGAAGGAACATCCACTAGGTAAAAGCAGTAACATTAGTAAAAGACTATTAAAATAGCAGTATTAAAATAACATTTGCATAATGCAGTCACTCCCACAAAATTCCTGATGTTCTATTGGCAAGCAATCCCAAAACGTCTACAATTCTCATCACTTTAGAAACCAAGTTATGCTCAATAGTACAGCTTCATAAAGCAACAGCTAGACCCTCTTCAAGTACCTTCTTAAGAGCAGTGTACACATCCATTTCCACTTGCATTACAAACAGGTTAGAGGAGCTGATCAGTTGCTTCATGAGGTTTATGCTGAAAGAAAAAAACAGGAAGAGTTCTGTGAGACAGCAAGGGCAGCGACGCCCACAAGCAGCAAGCAGACATCCACAGCCTAGAAGCTCATTTGTGGTAAGCTATTCACTTTGGGAGAAGTTGTACTTCACCTCTCTGCCACTAAAGCCAACTGAAGCCTGAATACCTGAGTTCTTTGAAGAGTTCAACACTCTGATGGGTCATTAGGTTATTCAAAAGCCACTCAAGGCACCTAGGTTAAAAGCAAGGAATTAATACCTCAGTTTTCTGCATATTTCAACATTTCTGCAGCAGTTGCTCAAGCTCCTCTATGTCAAGTTCTAGGTTAAAACTGCATTTATATTCTCTCTAATCTGCAATGAAAAACTTAATCCAGATTCAACTAATGCCATAAAAAAGCTCAATGCACTCGTGCAGCATATGGAAGCAGTCAGCACTAACCTTAACTCTCTGCTCTCAATAGTGTACTTATTCCTTCCACTTATAATAATGTTCAGCTTAAATAGTTACAGCCTAGAGCTATAAAATAACAGTTAAACAACACTTACGTCACTGTCATGCTGAGGACCAAATATGTTGTTGTTATCAATACACTCTGGTAACAGTTCTTTACAGCATAAGCGATATCTACTATGATCTACATCAATTTTAAGACAGATGATTACAGTAGAACAGGAAAACTAAATAGTATCATGAGCAGAGTACAAGTCAGTCAAAAAAAAACCAAGCCCGATCAGAATCAACCTGTTCATTGTTTTACTGCTTGTAAATTCACATTTTCCACTAACAATATATAAAGCAGCTTGGAGATACTAATTCTTACTTTTTCTTCACAGAATCTAACCCATATGTCCCCGCTGAATTGTAATAACCACACACAGTTTTTGCATTAATGGTTTCCTTCATTGTTTCACCGCATTGCTGAATTAAGCCATCCTGTGGGAGGAAAAAAATAACACAAATATTTAATATTTTAATTTCTAAACAGTATTGTGTAAAAGATTGTGTCGTTCATACAAATTCCAATGTCTGAACAATAAGTGAGGTTACACATACTATTAATTTCGCCAATATCTTTTTTGCAGAGTATTTTAACAAGCACAGAGTCAAAAGTATAGAGATACTTGGACTGCAGAGAACATGATGATCTGATACTGCATGATGCAGTCTACCACCTCAAAAGCACAGCCATCTCTTTGGAACATTCTGCGTATTTCCAAGGACATCCAGAAATTAATTTAAAAGCACATTAAATGCAATCTACTCTGATCCAAGAGATTATATTATACAAACTATTTCAGAGGAAAGACCACAGATCAGCAAACTCCTATCTAGAAAATTTCAATGAACATTCTTTAAAAAGTTATCTAGGTCATTCCCGTCATCTATCACAGGCAAGAAAAACAGCCAATACCTTTGGGTAGAACAAATGGTACAGCTTGAGGATTTAGCAGCAAAGTACAGATTGTTACATTTAATGCATATCTAGACATAAATTTCAACACATCACTTGGTATTAGAGCTCAATCTTAATCATAGCATTTTCAAATAAAACCACTGCATTATGTTTGTTCTTGTCACATGTTGCTACAAAAAGAAGATTCACTTATTTAGCTGAAATAGTTCACAGTATAGGAACATGCATGCACTGTTAAATTTATACACATATATACATTTAAGAACCATCTCTTTATAGCGATATGCATGTAAGTATATTATAGAACTATGCAAATTAAACCATACAACTATGTACATATCTACACAAATATAGAATGTATATCTAGATATTTCATGTTTAATACTTACAAGCTGTAGCATGCAGGCTGCTGCTAGAAGTGCAACTACTCGACTGGGTTTTATTAGCACATCATCTCTGTACAGGGAGCCAAAAGCCACCTGTAGAGCTGAATAGAAGTACAACTGTCAAACAGAGAAACCTGGACTGAGTTTGGATGACCAAAAGAATTCTTAAATACAACCAAACCATTTTGGTGCATGCATTCTCTACAATCTTACCCATCTGATGTTGGAAGGAAAAGCTAACATTAACCAGTCTAAGCATGCACACACAATAAAAGGGAACACATCATTAGCTAATAAAATACAGATCATTTCATTGAAGGAAAATGAACAAAACATTCACTCCAAAAGAGATGCAAAGCTGTTCCATGGGGCAATGGGAAGATCAATAAAACCAGATGAAAAGAAAGTAAACTTTATGCAGAACTCATTCTCTTGAGTTTCTCATTTACTAGTTCAAAAATAGAACTACTTTTTTTCTTTTAATAAATGATTTTTATATTGAAGTAGTTATGTCAGATTAGACTTAGTCTTTGCCTTCAGAATTTATGTTCAAACAAAAAGCTTCCACCTACCTTCTATATCAATATTCTGGTCAGGAATCTCCAACTCAATGACGTTCATGCTGGATTCTTTCCAAGAACCACTGAACATACTGGAAAAGTAGCCTGACTGTATAAGGGAAGAGGAGGGGGAAAGAACTCAGGTAAATGGTTTAACTCAAATGAAAACTATCCAAAGAAGCACATGGAATCCAGGATTGTTAATATTTACCTTTATTGCAGAACAAAATTATTAGGGGAGTGGCATTTTTTTCATAAACTTAAAAATTCTGACATGTTTTATCATCAGAAAGAACTAAGTAGAGATGCTCCATTTCTCAAACTAGAAATAAACATAAAAATCTAGGCCACATGTCTATAATTAGATTAAGTAAAGAGATTTAAATGACCAAAATAGCTGCATAAGCTCTTTTCCTACAAACCACACCACCTATGGGATATAATTAGTCCAAGAATGAAGTTCTTAAATGTAACCAACAAAAAATCCTGCAGGCACAGGAAAATGTCGGTTTGAGTAATAAAATGCATGCAAGACATACAAATTAATGTACAAAGTTGTGGTCTCATACCAAAGACACATACACATACACCATTTATGTAAATATACCTTTTATAATAAAGTGAAAGGCATATAAAACTAGAATTTGATAGGTTTCCATCCAAAGGAAGTGAAATACACTGCTCTACTAGGATTCATGAGTTTCCATCTGAGCAGAAGATGCGCGCTTTCTGAGATGCTATCACTCACTGAAGTTTACCTGAGAGATCAAAAAAATAAAGTCTATTTGTACAGCACCACACTCCCTAATCTCTTAACCCAGCATTTCAACTCTGGGCAACAAAAAAGTATGAAATCCAATTTTGGTTTACTTGATTCTCTAAAGAAATCTATTTCTTCAACATATCCCTTAACTATGACCAAATATACCACTCTGCTCTCAAAACCAGGACTTTATTAATTTTGTCTCACGAGGCTACTAGTTTTGTCATAACCCAACTACTCGTAGACCAGCTCCTCTATTTGATGAGGAGTTTAATATTTTAATAAACATCTTTAGTCCTCCATTTCTCACAGCTGCTATGCACATGTACTGTAGTACTTTCATTTGGAAAATAATTACAAGAGCTTTAGAGATTTCAGAGAAATATTAAAGTTATCTACAGATACATTTTTTCCTAACTTCCAGCAATATTTTAGTTCTAACTACATAATCTCACTGAAACAGAAATCTGAATTCTAACAATGAGTATCTTAACTAAGAAGTTTCATTTCATGTGAATATCATTTACATAAGGAGGCCACTGCATAACAAAATTAAAAATTTCAAACCATGTTAAAAAGCACCCACAGAAGCACTTCAGTATTAGATTCAATCATCAACTCACTACCTTCAGGAACTTGTGATGCAGCAACAACAGAATCACCATGAAATTTAAAGATGTTGTCATCAGCAGTAATCTAGGGACTAACCAGCTTTTTTTTCTCCTCCTTTTTTTAAGTTGTACAATGCAAGATCAACTGTCCAACTCACCTGCATCCTCCTACTGCTGGATATAGAGTCAAAGATGAAGGATAATTAAAATTGCATCTGCCAGCTCTCTCTCCTCAAAAAACTCACYCACTTTGAGCTAGAGGCACTGATGTCTGGCTAAAAATCTTTACTATACATGAATGGTTTCTTTGCCTTTAACTTCTTTAAAATGCTTTAAAGTCTGTCAAATAAAAAGCCTCTTCATCCTAGAATAAAGTAATGAGTGTTCCCCCACCATGGCTAGTACAAGAATATTTAACCCACATTAAAGACAACAGCAACTTTATAAGAACAATAATTAAAAAAGACAAAAAAATCACTTTTGCTGTCATCTGTGATGCTGACCACCACATTCAACCAGTTGCCTGAGCATTTTGTATTGGCATTTGCATCTTGGGGCTCATAACAGTATGCTTTGTGTTTGACTTCTACTAACTAAGAAGTGCACATCTTTTCAGGTCTAGCATTTGAAGTTACTTGCTCCATTTACATCCATTCCTGATGACCTTGAAAGTTTTTTTGCCTGGATCGAAGTGATATCTTGCTGGACAAGCCAAACACAAACACACATGGTGCGACTTTTCCAGGCGCCTCCATAAGTATTGTTCACACAACATCAGTTCGTGTATGTGCTCGGTGAAAACTTAAGGATCCAAGTATCCTAACCCTATACTTTGTTACATGGATACTTCCATAATGTCTATGGTTTCTGAAGCATTTCTGTTTGGGTTATATTTACAAAACAAATGCAAGGAGGCAGCAATAAGCAATCTAGGATAGCTCAGAGATAAAGTACTGTGGTTGRCTTAGTGCATTATGCCTGATAACGGAGTGTAGAGATAACGGTATCTATTCAATCCAAAAATAAATAAAGCAATGCTGCAAAGGTCAGCACAGAACCAGAGCGCAGAGAAGACYGCCGCTGTTTGTATTAGCGAAGAACAAGTCAGCAGGCAAATAGAGCAGTGGGTCAAGAGCACGTGCATCACGCAGCCAATCTCTTCAGCTGACAGGGGCAGGGGCAGCCTGGCAGCCTCCAGCAAGTGGCTTTTGCTYCAGTTCCCGGTACTTGAATCCCTGTGGAGAGCAAGTCTGAGCGAGGCTGGCGCCTTCCCAAAGGGCTCTCTTTGCTCTGCAATAGCATTAATGTCACGGGAGACGCCCTGGCTTTTGCTTGGCACTGAGGAGGTGTCCTGGGGCCATCCAAAGGTGGCTTCCTGAATCACTTTTGCAAAAGATAAGCTGAGGTTAAAAGAAGTTGGCTCTAAATTTGGGCAGGAGGGAGGCAGAACCAGAGAAATTGAAGTACGAAGTGACCACTGAGCAGCAGAAAAATAAAGGGAAGGAGCTAGGAGAAAAACACAAACTCACACTTCACACTTACAAACTAGTTTCTTATTTATCAAAATTTAGTGCTGGCTGCGATCGAGGGGAATAAGGCGTGGAAAGAGAGGCTCGTACCTGGCACAGGTAGATCTTGTGCAGGTTCCACTCCTCGCCCAGGGCGCAGATGCGCACGTCGCTGTTCTCGCCGTTGAGGAAGAGGGTCTGGTAGATGTACTTGGAGGTGCTCTTGAGCTTCTTCCTGCGGCGCGGGGCGACAGGGCCGCATCACGACCACGAGCCCGGCCCTGGCCGCGGCGGGCACCGCTTCCCCCCGAGCGCCCCGGTTACCGGCCCCGCACCTGCGGGGCGTGTTGAGCAGCCGCTCCTCGCGCTCGGCCTCGCCGTCGCTGTCGCTGTCACCGGGCCCCTCGCCGCCGCCGCGCTTCCTCTTGCCGCCCCGGCCCTCCCCGCCTCCACCGCCGCCGTCCCCGGCCGCCCCGTTGCCCCGCGGGGAGCCGCCCCCTCGCCGCCTCAGCACGCGGCTGCTCAGCGAGCCCATCGCCGCCGCCGCCCGGTCGCCGCCGCCTCCTCATGGGGCCGCGCAGAGCGGAGCGGGGCGGCAGGGGGGACGGCGGCGGCTCCTCAGCAACGGCCCCGGGCCGCCATTGTCACGGCGCCACTGCGCCTGCGCGGCGGGGGGGCGGAGCGGGGACAGGTGCGCCTGCGCGGAGGAGGGGGCGGAGCGAGGACAGCTGCGCCTGCG